TTTTAAAAACAAACAAAATAATGCGACTTCAGCAATTTTGCTCGTTTCTCACTCAGTTAGTTTTAAATTATATTTCCAGAAGAAAAAATGATTTAAATCTTGATTTAAACTAGGTCAATTCAGTTCAGGCCAACACAAGGACTACAAGGACATACTGTCTTCTGGGATTAATGAACTAAACTATAAATACAAATGCCTAGACTAGACTATACTCTGCTCAATATTTGTATTTCGTTTAGTTTGCAACTTTTTTTATTTCCAATATTTAGAATATGATTGTTTATGAATTTTTCTCGATATTTAAAAGACTGGAAACCAGACTGTCCATGCCCCGATTATCGGTGTTAGCTTAAACTATGGAGAACTGGTTATTTTTTGGCTTTGTGTATGTGTGTTTTGTTGTCTGATGATTTTATTTGGCTTATCGGCGGAATACAGACAATAAACGGTTCTGGCAGTTCAACAATATAGCAGTTATAAAACTCTAGTTTGAAGTTATTAATAATTCTCAAAATAACTTGGTGTTGAAAAAGATGCAATCATCGAGTCTTCAACTAGGGTATTAATTCTTGCTAATTACCTGCAACGCCGCCATTCCGGATGTTGGTTGTCGGAGAATTTATGACATTGTGACCTTCTTATAAATCATCGCCATCATGCTCTTTTCTCTCGAAGTTTCTAAATATATAGGACGAAGCCAACTTCTTGAATACCAACAAAGCGTTCTTTTTACATTCTTTTGGAGGGGTGACCTAAATAGAAGCCAATCAGCACTCTTGGATTTATTAACTCCATATAGTTAATTTTTGATGGCGCAGTTCTGGTTTAGAAGGTTGCATCGTGGCTAGAAATTAGGCGCGAATAATTAATAGTGACAGCGCTATTCAATATTATCGGTACTGGGTTAATCATGCTGAAAACTTGATCGATAAGTATCTTCATTATATGATGGTCAATGAGAATGGTCGCCTGGGGTATTCAAGACTAATCGGGATGTAATTTATCGTTTAGGGTTAGTAAATAGTCACGGATATACAAAGACAATACTTCGTTGGTCCTCTCTCAACTCTTTAAGATGGTAAAACACTATCAATACAAAAGAACGACAAAACTTCCGAATAAATGAGAATGTGTATGGTGTTCTAGAAAAGGTGAGCACATCCTGGCCCATGCATAATACATATAGCTAATTCGAACTTTAAAGAGACTTTGATTTCGAAAGTAGATGCTGCATAGGGTCACGAGTAGCAAAAGGGACAACCCGTTTTTATACAAATCGGTTAAGTCATCACCTGACACAACAGCCATCACTCTTCGAATGAAACTCTTGAAGGTGTTAACATAGTATACTCTTGGCAACCATCGTATTATTGGAAAAGTGTTTCAAGCCAAAGACGCCTCAGAGTAAATTGGCACACACGATATCCCACCGATGGTTTCAGATTAGAAAATTATACAAAATTGCAAAATTGTTATAGAATTCCAAATATAAATATAAACAAATGGCAGGTATGATACACTCCGAAGTGAGTGATGAGCACCAAAGTTTGTACATGGGATTTGGTTCCGATTGGGTAGTTTTGATTCTTAATTTCTCAAATGTAGAACTCATATATTAATAATATTTGTGCATTGTTGTATTCGATATTTAATAATTAAGTGTATTTACTTTCGATCTATTTAAAATGAAGTATATCCAAAGTAAGAGAGCCGATACGGTTTAAAGCTCGGATTCTATAGGAATACTCGATTGAACTTTCCAAGATTGAATTCTATCAATCTCACGAATATCGACAATCGAGTGGAAAGGGGTGTTTGCTCTGGTTAATTACGTCACGGATTCTACTCAAACGACCTCCATTATTGGGACAGATGGAATAGTGACAGTTGTGTTCCAATTCTGTCAATACGGAACGTTGCGGTGTGAAGCAATCCGGAAATGAAGCTTTGCCGCGAAAAGACCGTTTACTCAGAATGCTAAACATTTTTACGGGACACACGGGAGCATATTTTATCAATCAATCCATATCACGAACGCTCATGGTGTTGTTTTGTAGCTGATAGTGTCATGTACAGAACATTAAAGTGTTTTTATTCCCCGTGTCATTAATCCCAAACGGAAATACAGTTGATTAATATTTCAACATATAAACTATAAACAAAGATAAAAGTTAATCCTTGTTTCTTCAGTAATTCATGTGAATAATGAAATATTCATGACAAAGAAAAGTTAAAAACATCTTGTCGATATTAATTCGGTCACTCTGAGTATAATACATGTATATAGAAATTTGTTGACTGCTTCGACTTTGGTAATACTTGAGAAGAGATTGTGGCACGGAATTTATAAAGATAATTTTTGTGTCCTGTAATAAATGTTTATGTTTGATTTGGATCAAATGATGTTCTTTTGACTGAACCATTATGGAAATTGTTTTATTAAAAATGTTGTTTTATTTGCACTGCTATCGTTTACAAGAGAATCGGGTTGATTTTTTAGAGCCAGAACAATTTTTCTCTGTTTCTCTGATAGCGATGGTAGATCATTGCTTGCTGACTAACCGGGGTTTTTCTGACCTGGTTTTCCCTCATCAGTAATGGAGCGTGGAGGGTCTCGCTTTCTGATCAATTTTTTCCTCGCGCTCGCGTACGTATGTCCGTCGTCATTAGCCGGGTTAGTGCAGAAAGATGTGCCGTTATCCATATTTTGTTACATCGTGACAGCCTTCTGTATTAACCCAGTCACGTGACGTAGTTTTGACTCCCCGCTTGTACGTGACAAGGAATAGAGTCGCCTTTCCAACCCCGTGAAGAGTCCTTGGGTTCTCGGGTTTCCTCCCACTGCTAAACAACCCTACTATTTTTTATATTAGACCAAAAATGACAGTTTGTGTCGAGTAGACGTTAAATGCCATTTCTCTCTCTCTCTCTCTCTCTCTCTCTCTCTCTCTCACCGTTTGTTATAATAGTTTCCCGGTTGAAATGATGACCAATATCGGCATTTCCAACAGAGCATCACTGAGTATAAAACTTAAAAACAAAATAAAATGAAATAACTAGGACAGAAATGCGACCGGTAATGGCAGTCGGATCGTTTACTCTGAGTCTTTCTAATTTGTATTATATCTCTTATATATGTTAATGCAGTCATGCATATTTAGTAGGTTAATCAATTTCAGTTTTGAAATGAGGGACATCGTTCTACTTTTTAATATTCTTTAGTGTATTCAACAGTACTAAGAATATATAATCCAATTTATTTCTGGCAGTCACGGTCTTTTGAAAAGTCATTTAACATAGACCAATTTCACACCACAAAACGTATTAGACAGTTCATTGCTCCCTACATAACTATTTCAATCAAGGTACACTCTTTATCAGTTCTGTTATAGCTTATACATTACATCTAAATTAAGGGTTATATGGAGAAATCGTTCGCCCATGTTTTCCTTTATATAAAAAATCGTAGCAATAACCAGGCAAGCGTTACCCGAATATTTATAAAATATAGCAAAATGAATTATATCTATAACATAATTATATTCAAAGCGTCACTTCCAATTTTTTTTTTTTATAAAGGAGTAATTATCGACGAAATGTCAGGTATAGATGACTCTATAAAGATGGAAATAGTTTATAATCAATTTTATACCGAGAAAATGTCGCTTCCTAAGATTTCTAATGAACACTTTCTGCTCCATATTAACACTCGACCGAATTCAGGTCTATATTGTGATTTTTGACGTACTTACACAGAATCGCCCACCTACTACTGTTAAACAACTTTCATTTCTGTCTTCGACGCATTGTGCTGATCGAATTTATTTGTGTACTTTTGTTGATTGGAATAAAATTAGATTTTAGGAATCGATTCTTTAGGTCAGTCACATTTTGGACTCATATGGCCAATGGTTCTTATAATTCGCTGAACTGGAATCAGAATTATGCGAAGGATCTCTACTATTTTACTTTATCTAAAAGTTATTGACAAAACCCATTGCTTGATCCCCCTTGTCACTAATTCTTCATCTTGTTCATAAAATCACTTTAGTCTCAGGTCCATGGATTTGTCTGGTTTACGTTTTCATAGTAAATAAAAGTATCAGTAATAACAAACACTTAAATACGCTGCCTGCTATAGTCTGAATAAAGCTGCGTCTTATACAAGCTCAACAAGGCTGCGTCTTATACAAGATTTATGGGTGTCATTGGTCATTCATTTTCTACTGGACATGTTAAAGGCTTTATGTCTGATGAGAATCCGGTTAGGTCAATTTAACTGGGTAGTCTGGTAGATGAGGTTTGGGGTATATTAGTAATTATAACAGAAAAACGAGGGATAACTCTTGTGGCTAATAAGATAGTCGTTCATTAGCTTATTTCAGGTCTTAACATTGATGTCAGTATCTTGGACAAAGGTCAAATCTAAATACTAAGGCCACCTGCAGATTTCGTCATGGTCACGAGATGCAAACAGGGTTAGAGCACGTGATTGTTGCCGAGGGTTAGGGCTTGACCTTGACGAAATCCGCAAGTGGACTTAATATTTAGATCTAATCCTTGGAAAATGGTTTTAACATCACTAAACAAAACACCATTTTCACCCGGGTATTATTGTGGTTATTCGTTGAGGAATATCTGCCAAATGAATTATTGAAATAAATAACAGTTATTGGTCATGAATAAATCAATGGTTTATAGAATATGTTATAACAGCCAAGATATATTTTTCTGATATAAATCTGTTTGTATGATCGAATTATTCACATATGGTACATGTGCAATATGTATTGGTGTAAACAAATCCAATCATAGGGGTGTACTCCATAGATGGGGGTTATTTTGTCCAAACAAATTTAAATCACTTCAGCTGTGAGAAATAAAGGGAAACCGGATTATATACTATAATTGGTGATTAAATGAATTCTTGGTCGTGTCTAATGACAAAATATAATACTACAAATTTGATTCAAAACTCTTCTACAACTTTTTTTCATCAGGAAATAGTAGACATATCGATTAATGAACAGAATACACGAATAACCAACGCCTCCATAGAATGCTACAGATCTATGATATATTCAACACCTACACTCAATGGTAAGTGTTCTTGTGACATTTCTCCTAGTCTCGGCGTTCTTTAATTCGCAAGATTTCCCCTGGTTTGGGTTTCCTCTGCGTCCGAGTTTCCTGTGGTTATCTGGTTACGACTTGCAATCTGGGTATAGATCGAGAAAAATCTTTGGGATATTTCATGCCCAATTCCCACGTGTCAGTACGAAATGGTACAAAAACCCAAGGCCCCATATGCAAATTAGTAAATTATTGCTAGGGTGGACAAATTCTACCCTGGCATTGTACACTTAACCATAGAAATAAAATGTATTTTAGTCTGAAATTGAACTTGGTAAAATGCCGACGGGCGGTTACGCTATATTTCATTCTTTATCCTGCATTGTGGATATTCACCATGGTATGAGTGACAACGTACAAAGGAGGGGCTATAAACGACAACCCTAAGAAATTATCACAGCTCTTTTGGTCGAAATAGTCACAATACTCACAATCCACCAATCTGAACTATTTTAACACTCTTTGTCGGTTCACCATTAATGTGCGTCTTCGGAGTTACCATGAATTGTATGTTAACCTTTGTATATATAATATATATTTTTCCTCCAGGTACATTTTGTCCAAGTGTCTGGGATAAGATATTATGTTGGCCGGATACACCAGCGGGTACATCAGCTAGTTTAACCTGTCCGGATTATGTTGATGATTTTAATACACAAGGTCGGTGTTACGTTTATGGAACAAATTGTAATCTAAGACCGTTCTGAATCTGAGTTTGTATTACTTACTGTGTCGTGTATTTCTTGTAGTATTAGATAATTTGGTGAAAGACATCCGCTAAATGCAGACATTATTTCTGCGAATTGTTTTTCACTTAGGCCTATTGAATATTGTGGCATTTTTTACTAGTGGGAAATAATTCGACGAAATGTCTGGGGGTTTTTTTTAACTTGATAAGTTACATTATAATTAAAAGAAAACGAAAGCTACCGGTATATTGTGCTCTTTGCCTATATGCATTACGAATCACATATTTACATAGAGGCGTAAGCATGTATGCTTGTCCGAATATTATATACGATGTTTTGTTGTTCATTTTTTTATAGTGAATATTGAAAATATATTTCTGTATTTCAGCTAATGCTAGTAAATATTGTACAAAAGATGGAACTTGGTTTTTTGATTCTAATATTAATCAAACCTGGGCAGATTATACACACTGTTTGACATCAGTATCAGATCTAATGCGGGTAAGATATTAATCCCTTCTTCTTTTGGGGGATTTAACGTCGGCTTCCACTTTAAGTTATATCACAAACAAACCTATATTTTAGTAAATTCAACCCATATGGCTGTTTCTTTTTCCAGGGGAATTTTCATGCAAAAAATGATTGTTGTTTTTAGTCACTGAGGTATTCGAATTCAAAAGTTATATACATTTTTGAGAACAATACACAAATTGGGGATATACACGATTAATACTTGAATATACAATCTTAAGAAATGTAAACCAAATATTTCAAGGAAATAAGAATCTATTTCATTTCACCATAGCAGATTTGAATATACCTCGTAACTTTCTTCTTTTTTGTGATGTGTTTAACGATTTTAGGCGACACGTACTTTAATTTATTATTTCTTGGCATTCCCAAGTTTATATCAATATAGACTATAACATGATTTGTTAACCCTTTATATAGATACATCATTGACTGGTGATTATCGATGTCTACAACTCTTAGTTTAATCGAAGTCTCGAGTGATACAGTCTGTCCGATATGATTGTACACTGGTAATCCTAATACAGTATTCCCGTACTTTATTGGACATAACTAATCAGAATTTATTGGAATAAATTACAAATCTTTTCAGTGCTGATACTCCTTTAATACCCCTTTATTTAATTAATGTCGGTATTTCACTGGAAAATCGATAGTTTAAAGTCCCAGTGACACCTATAATTTGATTCAAGGAATCATGGTGCGTGTTTTTCAAACCTAATAAAACATTTCTCTGTGAGATAATTAATTGTATATATATCCGCCGTCTCTAATATATTACATAATCGATGCAACTAATCGGAAAATCGATTTTCTTTACATCCGCCTATTCATCGGATATGGCACAATGTCCGAAACGATTTTCTTCTTGTTAATTATAGGTTAATATGCTCCATTTCATTTGGTAATTAACATATTTGAAATAACTACTTAGGTCACGATAAAAAGTCTCACTCATTCAGTTTTGTAATTATTATTTAGCCTTTCTTCACATACATAACCCTTAACGATCACGATATATACTACAATGTTGGGTCCAATCACACATATTTTCATTAATGAAAGTAACTTACACGCAACTTGTATTTCTCACCACTAATTATATTATTACTGTAGCCAGGCTAGAAAACCAGCGTCTTACTCAATGAGCCGCCGCTCTTAAATCATACCCACTCTTAAATCATTTTGTTTTACAAATTGCTAAATGATTAATGAATTTCTTTTTTTAGTCCCATGTTGGAAGAATAAGTATTATGTATAATATTGGATATGGATTATCACTCGTATCATTGTTGTTAGCAGTTTTTATTATGGTAAAATTTAAGTAAGTAATTTATTGGAAGATTTAAGTCAAGTCATTATGAAGATAAAGTACATTAAATCTCGTTTCCTTAACATTACCTTGCTAAAATGCCCAAGCGTATTGTAAATGTTTACCATATTTCTTTCAAATTCATATTGCCATTTGGAATGAATAATGCACAAATATCTTACAAAATATGATGTTTACAAACAAATTGTACATGGATGGTAAGCAGCAACTGTATATTGATATCTATAATGTAATAGTCAACATTCGATTTCCCTGGACGGGATTTGATTCATTTTCTGTAACTGATATAATTAAGAAATAGTGAACGTTGGTAATGTGTATTTCATATCAACTCGATTCAAAATCGGTAAGATGTCCGAAACCATTTTTATCTGTAAACCATTACCTGCATATTTCAATCCACATCAAATCTGTAAATTGGATAAATTACCCAACTTCGTTGACAGTTATATCCAACGAAAGGCACGCAATGCAGGTTGATGCATTTTATGCTAATTTATCAGAATTATAGAATAACATATACCCTTTAGGAACCTTCCCCTTTGTTCTTCAGTTGCTTCCCTTATTGTTTGCTTTTGATTTTGAGTGAAGCCTGTATGGCTACAGGCCAGGGACTGTACATCTAATTGATCTGATATGTGCGATTGTTGTTTGTGGTGCCTGTGTACAATGTATACTGTCCATAGGTTTTTCTTTTGTAAGTGTCTGTGTGTGTTGTGATACCCCTGCACCTTTTATAGACATAGGCCGTTTATATATAAATTTGTGAATACATTTGCTGATGGAAATGTTATCTTTCAGACGACTCCATTGTGCTAGAAATACCATCCACATAAATCTGTTCGCATCTTTTATTCTGCGAGCATCTATATCCTTTATGAAAGAAAATCTCCTAGTTCAGGGGGTAGCCTTCTCTGCAGATGTAAAAATTTTACCAAATGGTCATCTGTCATACATTGAAGAAAGCACGGTGAGTATAGGCGTTTGTTTTATTAAGTGTCATAAAACATCAGATTTAAAGCGATCCCAAGACTGTATGTAACGTGGCGTGTTTTCTGTGTTCCTGCTTCTGCCACTCTTAAAGAGTCCTGTGCGCATGTCAAGTAATGAAACGTATACAAATACATAAAAGTTGTAAATCGGAGATCACCCACTTTAACCCGAAATTTACACTTAAGATGATGAATATATTACAGGAGAAAAATTCTCCAATTTAGTCTAAACAATATATTGTTTGGGGTTATTCAAATTTTTTTATTCGGTTAGTAATGGGACGAGATCTGAACAATTATTCAAACACTGACATTATTTATAAACGTGTCATTTGCATTTTAAACGGTGTCGGCTTATAGCTGGGACCACAGTAAAATAAACCTTCCCAACTTATACACCTAGTCTGAGCATTTCTATGAATAATACTGATATCATTAGCTTTTCCAATAATTTTTGTACATTATATTTCTATTCGACTGATATCATTAGCTTTTCCAATAATTTTTGTACATTATATTTCTATTCGACTTTATGAAGTTGTTAGATGTTATACCTAGAAGTAACAATTTATGGTTTATTGTTAGATTTCATGTAGGGAAATACCATCATGGTCACCCCATATCTCCCGTGGCGAGTTCTTTAGTCTACTAATTATATCATATTATTTTAAAATCACATAATACGCCTAAATATCGAATAGACGAAAGTCCCAGTTGATTTACTTCGATGGTAATGTAGGTTATAGGCGTCGTTTCTGGAATCACTAAACTAGATATGGTCAAAATTATCATGGATAAGTATGGCTACTAAATAACCGAGTTGATCTGGCACAAGACAGGATTACTAACTGCGTTTTTCACCACACCAAAGTCAATTCAGGTCAACGTTCTAAACAAGAACAATCTTTACGACATATTTCAGAGATCAAATTTCATTATGTGAGAAAATAATGGCAAACTTGATGTGCAACAATACGATCTAAGGGCATCGCCTGATCACAAAGTAAAAACTAAAAAAATATTCATTGTTTTGACAACAGTTTTGGATGGGAAAGTCGCGTATAAAGTACGGTAATTCAATGATGGAACATGTGTGAAAATGAGCCAAAACCTCTGGTGGACCATTATAAGTTTTTAAAGAAACACAAAGAAAGGGGCCTGTGATGTCTCTGATTCTCCTCTGGCCGTCAACCACCCAAACAGTCAACAGAAGTGTTAGGGAAATAGTCAGACACTTCAGACTATTTTAAAACAACCCATCTGCCCTTTTTTTTCTGTATAATATAAAATACTTAATTTTCCTGTAGTTATAGTTTATAAGTTTAATTGTGTTTTTATTGGTTTATCTGACAGACAATACATTAGAATACATTATAAGTCTGGTTTTACAATAAATTGCTGATGTTTTAATTCAAATAATGATAAATCAATTCCAATTATTGCAAACAGCAGAGGATAAAACATTTATTATGAAACTTAACAACTAAAAAAATATTATAAATATTGTTGAAGACGCGACCACCGAATTGGAAATTGCACTTTTACGATACTTGTCTCGAAAACGTTACAAATTGGCTTTACATAAATCTTCTTGGTGACAAATAAAAGATAAAATCAACATTAACTTGTGAGATTCAGACAATAAATGAATAGAAAAAGCTTAACACGCAAAACACAGCTAATAAATATTTTAATGGTTACATTCTTTTACGTTTTGGTTATCTAACGTGGCTTGTTTGTTTCCGTCTAAAGAGAGAAATGGGGTTTAACGTCCACTCGACCCAAACTGGGTTATTTCGGGACTAACATACGATTCAATTTTATCTCAATAATTCGCTTGCGCGTAGAGGTCTTTAGCAGTGGGAGGTACGTGGCAAGCGACAACGATATAGTCGTTCGGATTGGACGAAAACTCGAGGTCCCGTGTAAGATATAATAGTAGGCCGTAGCGCCACCGTCTACATTTCGTTGTTGTAAAAATATAAAAGATGTCGAATCTAGTTTGTTTCCAGAAATACGGGTGTTGTGTGATTTTCCTGAAGCAGCGGTTACAGGAATGAATTATCCGCTCATGAACGACCGTAACACTTCTACTATGATTAGTATCTCCCCCTGGGTCCGGTTTCTTAGCTATTTTTGGCAAAGTGTTTGAACATTTCGGTGAATAAGTCATTATACTAGTTTCATCTGATTTTGATAATGTGATGAGGTTCTTTGACCTAACTAAACATGAGTAGCCGTAAGGAAACTTGATAAGTGTCTTCATCGTATCCTGGTTGTTATATTTATCTGAATAACAACCATACTATACAATATCGTCTTGTTTACCTCTATCTACTTCAAGAGGACGTTGACAGGAATTACATTTGCTGCCACTTAGATTTTAACAGCCCTATTAAATTACTAGGTTAACGACTTTAAAATTATCATTTCCCTTGCCAGTCTACAATGAGGACCTGGCAAGGACAGTATTTAGTTGTTCGTAAGGGACGAAAACCGAGGTCCCGTGTACACATCGGCGTGCACGTAAAATAGTCTTTGTTAGTTTGAATTGGAAAAAAGTCGTAGCGCCAGTGTCCTGGCAAACTTTCTCTCAGAACACTGTATTGAGTACCCGCATTTTCATTAGCCCGGACAGTAGGTGTAGAAAAGTAGGACGTTAAACCCCATTTCATTTAAATTATCAGAAAAGTATCCACAGAAGTTATCTCTTTTGATGTTTTTAGTATCTATAGTTCAGTTGGTTGTTTTATCTCTAAATGTTGTTTTTATCTTGTCTATAGTGGTAACGTTTTCTATGAATATCATGTATGTCAACCATTTTGTTTTCTGTTGGATAAGATGGAATATAATTAAATAATTTAATGAATAAGATAGAAATGATTTAAATTGGAGTCTCTGTGGGCGCAACACGAGTTATTTGTTTCTCTTTTCCCCAACCCCTTATTATCCGCCATCTTTTCTTGTGATTTGCAGTGTTATGATTGATGAACCTACACTGTTGTCAAAGAATAGTTTTTGTATCTATAGGTCAATACAAAAATAGCTAGCTTATTTTTTATTTTTTATTTTTCAGCATTGGCAGTGCAAGTTGTTTTTCACAACGTTTCATTACATATTAGGCGCTAACTATATCTGGGTATTTGTAGAAGGGCTATATCTACATATGTTAGTCTCAGTAGCTGTCTTCTCAGAAAAAACTGGTATTAAATGGTATATGCTCTTTGGTTGGGGTGAGAATTCATTATTTCTTATAACTATAACAAATAAATCGTCTCGTTGTCAATAAGGTCTAGACCAGGCGTCGGCTAGTTTATGTATGAAACTAGTTACCTAATGGTAATGTACTAATTTGTCTTACCAAAGGCTAGAGTAAAGAAGATAAATTCAGATTTTCCGGTATTTCTATAATAATTGCCCCCACCTCCATACGTCACTTAAAGACGTGATTTTTTGCTTTAAGGGGGACAGTGAGTAGGACACTAGCTCACTAACCAGGAGATCCGGGGTTCAATCCGGTTGTTCCCCGATATCATTCCATCTTGAATTCCGCATGTCATTTGTGCAGAAAAGCGGAATTCAAAGAGAACAGAGCTACAAAAGAATAGTTAAATACCCATGTTTAGTGTAGATAAGTATCATATTAAAATATGAATGAAATCATAAAAAATCTAGTTTTAATTTGGTTGGAAAAAGACAAAAAATGTGATAATTGTTCATCTTTATTTTTACAGCCGCCCCAGTAACATTTGTTCTACCGTGGGTGATAGTTAGAGCTACTATTGAAGATAAGTAGTAAGTATAGAAAAATAACTGAATTATCATTGAAACCGGGCGCTACTTGCTTTTCCTTTATTGGGTTTGTAATTCCATTAACGATGGCTAAGTGAGTCCCCCCTCCGCCATCCACCCTTTTTAATGGTGCCAAACAGAGTTCCTGACAATGAACGGCGCCTATTCGTGCTGATGGAGCTTCCCGTGTAAACGTTCCACTTAAAAGAACTCTTAATGGTTGGAATTTGATGAGGAGTATAGGCGCCTTTGTCCGGATCAATTTCTGTCGAAGTCCATTGCCTGGCGTATGCCGGTATTTATTAACCCGATTTGTTCAGAAAATCGGACGTTAACCCCCATTTGATTAAAATCTAAATCTGTGATGACACCATACAGCCAAGCATATGGCTGGATGATCAAAGCCTCTCAAATTATTTGACGGAATGTTTTGTATATTGATTGGTAAAATAATCTGGAGTCTACCAATCAACTCAACACGCTCTATAAAGTAATGTCTTTAGACTAGAATAAATCGGGGTAAACAATCGAAGTACAATACTGTATAATTTTTATTCGACGGTTTCTTTTCCGTCTGTTTTTATCGAATACATGTTAAAAGGTCTTAACAATGTTTTCCAGACATCTTTAGCCTAACGGAATAATAATGCCTTAAAGATGCTTATGTAAGAGTCAAAAATATGCCTTTTATAGGTCTTTTTTCTGGCTTCACACACCGAGTCTATAATCAACTCTCTACAACATTGGATGCCTTCAAGATACATTATGTAAGGTTTCGATAAAGAGCTGAAAGTTAAACTAAACACAACAGTTCTGTGGATAATAATTACTGAATTTGTATTGTAGCTCCAATAAAAATGCAGTACTTGTTATCCATAGAACTGTTGTGTTTTTGTTTTTTTGGGGGTGTTTTTTTTTGGTTTTTTTAATGTGTTAAATTACCAATTGCCGTTTAAGCAGCTGGAAGTTCTCGATATAATAGTTAAAAGATAGATAACGAAAAGGAAATATGTTGAGAATTTCAGTCACAATTACTTCATCCTGAGCGGAGTTATGGCTGTTTGAAGAACAGTGTAGTCTCGAGCGGCATTGCTACCGTTGTTACTATAATAAACAAAGTTTCGATTATCCATTCTTTAATTAAATTATTAACTGACAAATCCATCCGATGCTCTAGTGAGTTGATCATGGGCTTGACATGTGAATAATGATTTATATGGCAATTTAGGCCAAACAAAAGATCTGCATTAGGCAGATTTAGCTCTTACATTATGCATCTTTACATTTGAGTGGATAAGACACTGTTTAAACGTTAAAATGGACGCCACACGCATTGAAGGCATGAAAATCGAGACATCGTTTAGCGATAATGATAATTGACAATCGAGACTTTATGATAGACTATTTCTGGTCAAAACTTCAAACAATGATAACTTCGCTCTTAATATAGTGTATTTATTTTTTTTATTATCAGTTAAACTATAAAATCAAGAACGATCAGCTCTTTATCTGAGTAAAATACTCTTGCTTCAGAAACGGATCAATGCATCACATTTACCGAAATAATGTCAACCGTCCGGGTGATTTTCTGTAATATTATTCCCTACAATAGACCCCATGTCGAATAATGGAGATTATATTTTATATTTCAGTTGCTGGAACACGTCACCAACACCGGGATATTTCTGGATTATGAAAGGTCCTATTGTAGCATCTATTGTGGTATGTATTACTCTATATGAAGAATATCAAATTAAATCAGTGACTGATATTAATTAACCTAACAGTCAGTTGATCAGTAATATTGGTCTTTAATAAAAATGAAATATTAAAGTGTCGCGTTATTTTAGCGCATAAGGAATCCCTATGTGTAATCTCTATGCAGTAAGCCTGGCGCAGAAATGATAGGCCTATTTTAAATCCGATCAAATACAAACCGACTGACTGTATGGGTGTCATGCCCGCCTAACAGGGTGCTTGGCTATATATTTTATTAACGAATTTTAAACTTCATAAATGTTGTCGATTATAATTGTAGACAGTTGTCTAATCTGCTACTTTTCCTTTTCAGATAAATTTTTTATTTTTCTTAAATATTGTTCGTGTTTTGTTTACCAAATTAAATGCTGTTAATTCTCCTGAAGCAAAGAAATTCAGGTATCAGTGAGTATTCCATTTAAATAAAATTAATACTAATAGCCATATTACTAATACATGTTCGTAAAGGTGCGAATTCTTACATCAAAGGGGTGTATGTGTGTACATGTGCGTGTGTGTGGGGGGGGGGGGGGGGGTATGTTCGCCCAGTCTTTGGTTATAACATCTTATTTGGTCATCTACAAACTTATTATTGAATCTCATAAACCTCTACATTTCTCAAATACAGCGTTTGAATACTCTAATTATTAAATTAGTTGATACCAAAAAAACATTTGTTTACAGTAAGTAACGTTATCAATGATTTAGCCAATATCGGAGCTTAAACTGTTAAAATTTCCAAATTAGTATGCATGCTCAAAAATGAGTATGACTAAAAGCTGGCTTCGAGACTTGTTGCCGCTGTTCCATTCCCATTTGGATGTCATATGTATACTATTAACAATAGACATCCATTCCTTTCATCAATGACTTAATACAAGGGATGAGTGATACCCAACGTGGGTCACATGAATAAAAAGGGGGTGTTAACTACAAACTTTTCTGAACCAATTAATATCTATGACCATAAATAGATTATATAATAACAATCTGACTTGTATGAAATAAGTTAATGAATTCATCCATACGGATCTGGTACATGTTTTAAACGTGTTATAATCTTGTACAGCTCTATTAACAGTTGGCTTTGGGGTGTATTTAAATCATGGTGTCTGTCTCTTCTAAACTGTGTAACTCATTTATTAAATGTATCTACAGTTTATTAAACATGCATTATGCAAGAGCTAAATCTTCCCATTGCAGTTCAAATGTTATTATTTACATGATAAGCCCACAATCAACTCCCTGGGCTATTAGATAGCTCCAATTGTAAGTAGATTAGAACACGGTTGCCCTTTAAGAGTTTAACGATAAAATAGATAATGGATACTTAGTCTCGATTGTCACATTTTCCTGCTACGATGATAAACAATCTAGGCAGCTTTTTGTCAAAACTTCAAACACTAATAACTTCGCACAGAATAAAGTAATTTGGATAATATTTTCAATAAATTCATTTTCCATTATCAATCTTTAAAATAGTTCTTTATCTAAAAGGGGGTGGGTGGCCGAATGGTTAACGCGTACGCATTAGATCAGAAGGTCTGTCATTGAGTCAAGTGGCGTGGTTTTGATTCCCTGTTGATTGTTGCGGGTTTTCTCCGGGTCCTCCGGTTTCCTCCCACTGCTAAAGACCCCTACGCGCAAGCGAATTATTGAAATGAAATTAAACCATTTGTTACTTCGAAATGACCTAGTTAGTGTCGAGTGGACGTTAAACACCATGTCTCTCTTTCTCTTTATCTAAATGTTACTTAATGCATCTTAAATTGGTCCTCATTAGTATGTAGTTACATATCATTGGTAAAAACTAAAACAAAATAGTATGGGAACCATTGTTTTACATCAAGTAATTATTATTAATGACATACCTCGTATGTCAAGAGTGATTTAAAGCAAAATTCTCATCTCGCTAGACAAGCTTCGATCTATAAATTTAAGATGTCACAACTTACTCGCAGCTATTCGCAGGTTGCCCCAAAGGAAATATTAAGATATACCGTCTGGCTATATTGAAACTTGTATTTTGTTAAAATTGGCTCGTTAAAGAGAATTTTTCAATGTAGTCTATCAGCAAGACTACGAAACCGTTGCATGTTTTCAATCAAGGAGGAATAGAGGAATAGTCGCCTTGGCCTACTTCCGGGTGTAAATTTCATGTTAGCGCTTTACTTGAAACATTTATGTGCCTTTGCAATGCAAAGAGGAGATTTGCCGTCCATGTATGATCTTCAACGAATTTCAATTGTCATGGGGATTATATAGCCCACATTCTAATAAATTCCCCTTCACGATTACTCGTACTTGCAGTGTTAAGTTCTGAACCGATCTGGCTCCAATTTTCAAGAGTGTTTATTATTTACGAGGATTTCTACAAAATGATACGATTGTTGATAAACAAACATTACTTACTGTACTTGTGCCTACTCTACAAAGTTCAAGTTTGAATTTCATTAAAGTTTCAGGAGAGTTAGTATTGTAGGTAAATATGGTCCCTACAGATTTTGAGCGTTTTCTCAAAAGCGGTGCCAGAGTTGTGGCCCCTGACTGATAATGTTGTTGATAAACGAGATCATTACCTCTCGGATATCATAAAATCTTCAGAAAAATTGAATACTTGGGTAGAAATGACCTTTATCGATTTGAGTATCTGTATCTGTGCAAACGATGCAAGATTGTTATTGCCCTTGATTGTTACGATTGCTAAAACACGTACAGTACGATACTTGTAATAACTGTAGAACTGTATGGTATTACAATTCGTGGCATATTTAGTTTAATTAATAATAAAGCCAAGATGGTTGGTTTTACAGCCTTGTTTAAGGGTTGTTGGCCTCGTCATCATGTTTCCAGGAATAGTTAGCATTGTACTACACATGATCTCTATCACAGAATTACTTATCTCGAATACTCCCAGTAATTATCTTAATGTCAGAATGGTTTCTCGCTTCTAGAATGCAGTGTTTATTAGATAACCATAGCTTATTCGATTAGATTGTTAGTCAAATATATGCATTGCCTGTCCATTCTCTTGAACGGGTTGTCGGAATTTCTAATATGCCCCCTTATTATTGCACGATACTAGAATTGCACAATTTGATCGATTATGTTCTTGCACTAACTGTTTTTAATAATTTGTTTTAACCCTATAGGTCTGTTGCTAAGTAATTACGATAAGTATAGAATATATAGCATGTAGCTAGGCTGTTATTGCATGGAACTGTATTCGTGTGTTGTTGATGTTGTTATTGTTTTATATGAGTGCATGTGGGAGGAGTGGCGAGGTGGATATGGCCGTTTGTGGCGCATATTGCCAGCTGAAGAGGTGTTAATTGGTGTTTATGTTAAAGCTGTCGTAAAAAGCTAGATACCCCTTTAAATTAGATTTAAATTTAGTTGAGCGGTCACTAAATAACGATAAACTTTGGTTTATTCGTAAAACAATAATGTTGGGTCACGGTTATAGTTGTTAATAAGTCTGATCTACAGTTATTTTACTACTACAGACGACTCGGTCGTGATATTAGTCTTGGATTGGATGGTCGAATGGTTACCACATTTCGATTCCCCGGTTGTACGTGGGATTTCTCATGTGTTTGTCCGTAAATGACCTAGTTTGTGACAAGTGGACGTTAAACCCCACTTCTCCCCCTTTCTCTGTCTCGTCTAGTCTGTCCTACAACTGTTTTACTACATGTACAATAGACGACTCGATCCTGGTAGTAGACTGGGCTACAGCTGTTTAACTACTATAGACAGCTCGGTCGTGGCATTAGCGTGACCTATAGCTGTTTAACTACTATATACAACTCGGTCGTGGTATTAGTCTGGCCTGCAGCTGTTTCACTACTACAGACAACTCGGTCGTTGTATTAGTCTAACCTACAGCTGTTTCACTGCTATATACAACTCGGTCGTGGTATTAGTCTGGCCTACAGCTGTTTCACTACTATAGACAGCTCGGTCATTGTATTAGTCTGACCTGCAGCTGTTTTGCTACTATAGACGACAGCGCTGTGGTATTAGTCTAGTCTACAGCTGTTAAATACTATAGACAGCTCAGTCGTGGTATTAATCTTGCCTGCAGCTGTTTTACTACTATATACAACTCGGTCGTGGTATTAGTCTGACATACAACTGTTTTACTACTATAGACTAATAGACGACTCAGTCGTGATATTAGGCTGACGTACAGCTGTTTCACTACTATAGACAACTCGGTCGTGGTATCAGTCTGACCTACAGCTGTTTCACTACTATAGTTATAGACAGCTCGGTCGTGGTATTAGTCTGACCTACAGCTGTTTAACTACAATAATAGACTCGGTCGTGGTTAAGGAACACTTTACCTTGATAACGAATTAAACCATCCATGTAAGGAATGTTCTTGTATAGAATATGTCACTTATTTAGTATATTGTCATGTAGGATTATTTCTTGTCAGCACCCTTTCCTTAAAATTTATTGTTTGTATACACTGAATATTGGTGTGCACGGTGCATTTTATGGTTAGTCTTTCTAGAACACATAATAAATCTTCTCCTTTTGGTAGTTTTACATTTGGTACTCTTGGGCCGCCCAAATGGAAACCCGAATCCACATTCATATCTGTTTAATTTTTCCCTGGTCTAATACGAAATCCATTTTCGATAGCTGCACTACGTGAATATAATGAACTTCAGATGTAAATGCCAACTTCTTTCAATAGAGAAATCAAGATTTGGAAACCTCGGCTATCAGGTGATACGGCAATTTCAGTCCAGTCTTTAGTTTCGACATGCTATATTTTGGATATTAACAGCTAACAACGACATCGTCTGTATGCATAGTAAATTGCATCGTTAAAGACAGCTGGTATATCTGGCAATATCCGATATATATACTATTCAAAAAAAGTAGGGGATATTTGATTTTTAAGTGTTATTAAAGTCACCTAATGAAACTGACGAAGAAACAAATGACAAAATGAAATGAAGTTCACATTCATCGATTTATTACAAATGATCGTTAGACTAAGTAAGGCACAGACTGACCATTATAAGGGTAAAATGATACCCGGGGTCAAACAGCAAAGTTACCACAGCATCACAACCAAGTCAGTAACGGGTAAATCCTCCTCTGTTTGCCAAACAAGCATTGATCCGACGTGGCATACTCCTAATGAGACGTCTAAGGTCATTTTGGTCCAGATTGTCCCATTCCTGTTGCAACGCAGCAGCAAGTTCTTGGACATTGGCAGGACGTTGTTGACGTTGACGTAACCTCTGTCCAAGCATGTCCCAGACATGCTCGATGGGGGAGAGGTCGGGACTCAGTGCTGGCCAAGGTAATGTGGTGATGTTCTGTTGTTGGAGGTAACCTGTAACGATCCTGGCCCTGTGACATCTTGCGTTGTCATCCTGGAAGATGAAACGGCGGCCATGACGTCGTGCGAACGGCACAACATGGACTGGCAAGATGTTGTCCCGGTAGTACTGGCCTGTAACACGCCCTGCAACAACATGTAAAGCCGTTCTTCCAGCAACAGTGATGCCTCCCCACACCATAACAGAACCACCCCCAAATCGATCATGTCTGATGACGTTAACGTCTTGGAAGCGCTCGTTTCGACGACGCCACACCCTCCTACGTCTGTCCAAAAAATCAACAGTGAACCTTGACTCATCTGAAAACATCACATTGCTCCAGCGTCGATTATCCCAGTGTTCACGATCCCTACACCAACGACGTCTTGCCTGAATGTGATGATCTCTCAAACAAGGGATCACGCGAGGACGTCGGGCGGGAAGGTGACCCCTATGCAGTCGATTCCGAATCGTCTGGCCACTCACTCTCACACCAGTGTCTGTTTGAAGACGAGCGCTGATCTGATTTGCTGTGATGACACGATTTCTCAAGGCCAAGGTACGGATAAATCGATCCTGGGCTTGAGTTGTCGCCCTTGGTCGACCTGAGCGTGGTCTGTCCTGTACAGATTGTGTATCACGGTATCTGGACCATAGCCTGCTTATGACAGACTGAGAAACATTCATCGTCCGCGCCACAACCGCCTGTGTTGTGCCGATCTGTAGCATGCCAAGGGCACGTAACTTTTCATTTTGGGTAAGCCGACGCATATCAAAATTTGTTTTCTGGTCACTAAAACAGTTAAACTGATGTTTCCACCCTGGAATTCAATGCCACAATGACTGTAACATTCAAAGTCAGAGTCGTGCAAATCTTGGGTTGGACCCCCATGATGATCCCAAGCATCACCTGCATTCCATGCGGTAGCTATTGGTGTGTTTGGGCGTCACATGTAACTGGAAATGTTTCTTCTGTTAGGTTCTATAGTGACTTTTTTCGTAGTCATTTGCATATTTTAGTATTATGCCCCCAAAATCAAATATCCCCTACTTTTTTTGAATAGTATATTTTAAGTAATGACCCATGATCATGATTTTCTTCAATCAGCTCGGCAAGATAATAATTATATTCCATATCTTCGGGCTGTCTTAATCTTAATCATTTGAACTGGTAAATACTATGGTGTTAGTATAAAAGGACAGAATCGGAAACAATTTCAAGATATGTTTCCGGATAGGACCTTTTAGTACTGACTCGTTCCTAATGAACACTATGAATAATTATCTAAATTCCAATACGTTCTCAAAATATATTACAACATGGAACTAAGTAATTATTAGTTCTGTAAATTGGCGGGGGTGGGGTGGGTGCAATAGTCTAATGGTGGTTTGTCATTGAGTTAAGTGGCGTGGTTTGGCTTCCACACTTTTACGTGACGAGTAGAAGGGTTCTCTGTCCATCCTCGTGGGTTTTCTCCAGGCCCGCTGGTTTCCCCCCACTGCTAAAGATCCCTGCGCACAAGCGAAATATTGTAATGAAAGGAAATCAAATGTTAGACCGAAATTACCTAATTTCTATCTCACGTGGACGTTACTCTCTCTCTCTCTCTCTCTCTCTATCTCTATCTCTCTCTCTCTCTCTCTCTCTTTCTCTCTTCTATAATATTTGTATAATATTTGTATAAAATGTTAATGACCTTTAATATTACAGAAAATTAGCCAAATCGACGTTGGTTTTAATACCGTTGTTTGGTGTACACTATATTGTTTTTGTTGGTTTACCGGATCGTCTTGATGAAAGACTGGAACTCGTTAAACTTTATTTCGAAATGTTTTTTAATTCCATACAGGTTCGTTCAAATTTTATTTTAAGGCAAGATCTTTGTACATCCCAAAAGTCCCTGTTATGCATAGTGGGCTGAATGTTTCTGACGAAGAAAAAACCTATTTTGCTTTGATTAGAATTAGCCAGTTGCCCTTGTTACCATTTCACTATATACATTACCGTTTAATACGTCATTATCTTACATATTGCTAGGATTGGTGTGGCATTACGTTAGTGTCGGGTTGGCAATAATTAAGCAAATCTGTTAAGGTTGTGCACTGATGCTATTTTCTCGACACCAACCCAACATTACCCGAACGCATTCAAAATGTCCAGTGGAAATGCACACATCGAAGACTCGGTTTCGGTTGTGTGAATGTATTGAACATATCAGTGTAATATCTAAGGTTAAAACAATATTTGAAATGACCCATGGACACATAAATATCTACATACATGGCGCCAACCGTTACAGTCGCGTCAACGTCTCTGACAGTATTAAAAATGTAATATGAAAGTAAGAAGCCTTTTAAAGATCGACGTATAATGGTGCAAGTAAATATCCAGAAATTCCAAAAAGGCCGAATACACTGCGTATCCTTGTTTAAGGCTAATCGTCAGACGTTTTATTAAATACACAGATCTTTTTCATTTATTTCAGGGTTTCTTTGTTGCTTTATTGTTTTGTTTTTTGAATAGTGAGGTAAGTGTTTGCTATTAAACTATTTGAAGATGATAAGAACCTCTTGTTTTCCTTACTGACATGAAGCAAATAAAAACCAGTTAAAGGGTTAAGAACCGGTTAAGAACCGTTCGTTTAATCTTCTGGTACAGTTTAGTTGGCGTGGTATTCTAATAAATTGTAAAATTTATTTGAGCTCATTCGATTGTTAAGCGATGATATTAACACATCTTTAGACAGTAGACTTTCTTAACTGCACCCGGGCGTGCAAAATGTTTTCATCTTCTGGGAATGCGCATGTGTGGGGACTCAATCCATTTAAAAGGTATCTCGACCTATTAGAATTCCCTGTTCTTCGGTCGTTTAGATTCTCTGCGATATCACTATTATGGAATCAGACGTTAAATGACCAAGGTACTAGTGCGTCAATGGCGTATTTTGATGTTGTTACTTATTTGTCAGAGAAACGACAATTATTGCCAAACATAGGGTTGTCTGGACTTTCTAATAAGTTTAGCATATTTAAAACGAAAAAAAATAATAAATAATTTAGTTTGTCAATATGTTGGGGTTTTTTTTATATGTGTCAGTTATATCCATGTCTTGCTCTCAAAAAACGGTGACATGCTGATGTGCTAAGGCCTTCGAACATAAGGGGTTATTTTTCTGTGATTTCCATCACCGACCAATAAACATTGGACTGCTGTAAAATTCTTCAACACGACAGATTGTCGGTTATATTTTCGCTACTGCCAGGACATTCATAACCGACAAGCCATCGGGATTTATAAATCTATTTTCAAATGCATCCTTTTATAACGGAGCTTGTCTAATGGTGCTCACATGTTTTGTGTAAAGCAATCAAGTTATAGGCAAATGCTTAAATTTACATCGCCATGTAACCCTCGCGGTCGCGGACGGTACGTAAAAGGCAAGAAATCGATGACTGTAAATCGGTATATGGTCTAAGCATCCAGTGTTTTGCCTGACGATTGCCACTGATTTAAATATGAATTATTTTTTGTTTATTTAAGGTACGAACAGAAATAAAGAAAACCTGGCGCCGTTTCAAATTAAACCGATTTCATACGTTTCAGCGTGGTCGATCTCACTTAAGTACTTTCGCGACGTATGTCTCAAAAGTGCGCGGTTCTGTGTCATCTTTTTCAAACCATGACGACCAGCCACATGATGGTCAACCAACTAATGGAAAGGGACATACGTTAAACGAAGGCACGGCCTTGAATTCGGAAATTGTCGATATTAACAATAAGTATATCTCTAACGGAGGTGTTACAACAGCAAATATTGATGAAGCCTTACCAATGATGGCACTTCCTGTGAAAGAAGGGGATACCGATTCTGGTTATGTAAATTCGGTTCACAGTGGTCATTTATAACAGTTAATTTAGTATGTGTGAACGTTTTACTGTGAACCAAGTTGAGACGCAGTGATTTGGCAGACTACCTTTCAAATATCCCGTCTTACTGATCTCGACTGTAAAACTGGATAATCTGACAATAATGTGTAATGAAGAAGCGGATTCTGAATCAGAACTGGATACCGGATTAAAACGAAATCGCTGCTCAGTCAAATCTAACTATTGGATTGTGTTTTGTGACATTTTATTTTAGCGCTAAATCAATTCGCTAAAAACGTCATTGTTTCATACGAAGTACATGAATATACGATAAAATGTACGGTAATTGAATATCGTAAAGATTTTAAAATCAAACTATATTGCAATCCCTGGTGTAATAAAGTTCCGTGGTGTAAACCATTGTTCGAGTGCAAATTTTACAACTTTACGATAAAAAAATAAGACCTGGAAGTGGAAGGGAAGTGATATATAAATAATGTTGCCTTGTCCACCATACAAACTGCTGGTTGGAAGGGATGGGGTGGTCAAGAGTGTCGCGTCTTGAGCTCTTGCTGTCTGGTCACCTCTAGCATGCGGTCGTGGTTTAGATCTTAAAGGTTTTCTCCGGATTCCTCCCACAGGGAAGGCCCCTGCGCATGTTATAAGCTTAATAAAATAAGACAACTTGTCTGCGATATCACCCTCGGTGGAAGCGGATGAAATGAAACCCTGGATATATTGTGTTCGACTGAATTACCACAGCTCAATTGTAATATGATTTAAAGACAACCAAAGACAGGTGTAAATATTATTTAATGATGATTTCGTGGCTGTTTGGGAGTGGTCTGGTTTGGGGTTTTCAGTTAATTGAACAAGGGACTATGGAATATTGCCAGAATACAGCTAATCTAACGGGGTGAATAGTATCACTCAAATCTCTCGGATTTTCAGTAACAACTTGTACGATGCACACTGCAATACTGATAAAGCGTTATTTTGTCAATAGAGAGCCACGGTTGCTAAGTGAGTAAGACGCTGGTCTCGGATTCGCTCCCGCTGTTGGCCGAGAAAGTTCATCGGGATTTTCCAGCGTGGTTCCCCCTGTCAGTGGTGAATGGATGGAGGACCTGACAAGGACAGCTATCTAGTCGTTCGGATGGTACGAAAACCCGAGGTCCCGCGTACACATTGGCGTGCACGTAATAGATCCCTTGGCAGTTGGAATTCGGTATAAGAATAGGCCGTAGCGCCGCTGTCCGGTCCAAATATCCCTTATAGCACACTGTATGGCGTATGCCCGTCTTCACTAGCCCAGACGGAGCAAAACAGTAGGGCGTTAAACCCCATTTGATTTCATTTTTTTTTTTTGTCAATGTCGTGACCGATAAAAAAATATATTATGTTATAGATATTTATATTCTACACGTAATGATTTTATAAAACAATGACAGAATTGTGAATAATTAAAATTTGGACCTAAAATGTCGCAGAATCGACCAGTGCCATTCAAAAATATTTTAACGTATTCAGGATTTTATTGTCCCAACTTTTTAGAAACTTTTTAAATGCACCTTCCGTAGATACAGGGTACCTTGTTATGAGATCGCCTGCTGAAATCGCGTTAAATCACAACTTAAAAGAACCAAATTAAGGTTTAGATATCTGGACTGGTGTTCCATAGTCTCGGATCGCAATCCAGATCATTGACCCCAAAACAAACATAGTTGTTGTGTTATTGATGTTGTTGTTACTGATTCTCTCAATTAACATTATTTCATTTTGACGACATTATTATAATTGTGTAATAGACCTATAGTGCGCTTACATTTTATATGTGTGTTGAAACAATACGGTGCTGTGATCTAAATTTATTGACCGTTTTAATGTGTATATCGGTGAGTTGTATATATATATTAATCATATTTATAAACCTCTTCGTGTTTTTTGGTAGAAACTTTTACATCAATGTGTTATATAGCTGTACTTGTATTAAACTTCAATTTCAAACTAACATTCTGATTTTATAAACTTCCTAGGTAAATTCCGATACCACGCGCTAACTCCCCCCCCCCCCCACAAAGCCATTACTAATCACTTCCGCACTGTCTTGCAGGGTATGTTTTCTTTGTTCATTACAAATGGTGCCCGAAACCACAGTGGAATACACGAATCGTGTACTGATTATAAGATGTTCATTTCGCCTTAAATATTGCATGGGGACCCCATCAATATTGAGTGAAATGGGCCAACATTGAATTCTAATTCGTGTATTTAATTTACACTATTATGAAAAATATTGAGTTTGAGGTTTAGGTCCTTTAACAGATCTGTCAAATGTTGCTCTTCTGTTGTCCTCATAGAGACAGGCGGGGTCCTAGCACGGATATACTTTATACATGCTTGAAACATGCTTAAACAAAATAAATTTTCTTAAATCTTATTCAACTTGGCCATGGCTGGTTGTTATACACTATTTTGCCTATAACGTTTTTAGGACTTCGAATTCTGTCTTATGGTTTGGATTGTTCGTACTTGGTTCTATTTTATTTCTACCAACTGCTTTATCCTTAATTTATGTGGATCACGGTGGGTAAGACGCTGGCTCGCTAGCCTGGAGGTCGGGTGTTCGATCCCTGCATTGGCCGAGAAAGTTCATCCAGATTTTCAGGCGTGGTTCCCCCTTGTCAGTGATGCAGGACGGAGGACCTGACAAGGACAGCTGTCTAGTTGTTCGGATGGGACGAAAAACCGAGGTTCCGTGTACACATTGTGCACGTAAAAGATCCCTTGACAGTTGGAATTCGGTATAAGAGTAGGCCGTAGCGCCGCTGCCCGGGCAATATTCCCGTTTGCCCGTTTTCAATAGCCCAGTTCGGAGCAGAACAGTAGGACGTTAAACCCCATTTCATTTCATTTTCTTTTTAATTTATGGTTTAATCCAACCACAACGTTCGATGATAATCGCAAGCAAAATGAGTGTTCATTCATAATGATGATTGGTCAACTGGACACAAGCTTGGGGTCGCCACTTAAAAAGTGCACTGCAGATTAGTGTTTGAAACAAGTTGAAGTAGATTCGGAGAAAAGATATACTTATCGCAATGTAAATGGTCTAACAAATTACTACATATAGGCACATGATGAGTAAAAAACGATAAATGAGCCCTGCGATTGGTAGTATTAATACGCATATATAAACTGGAATTGCATGGTTAGCTGTTGTAACATCGACACAGAGAGATTAGATATTTCTATGGTTGCGTTTTACTAACCGATGGGTATTTGGGCAGTGTCCGATTAACTTATCGGCAAAAGTAGCTTATTCTACGGCGCCGCGCTAATTGCTAGCTAGCTATTAATTCCGATTCAGTGATTATGTACTAGTATTACTATAGGTACATCCATTAACTGTCATAGCCGTTGTATAAAGACATGAACATAATCAGACCCTCGTTCATATTATATTTTTGTTAATTTGGGACTCTACCCTATGCTACAGCCCCACACTAGCTTAAGCTGGTCCCGCATAGGAGAGTAGAGTAATCATAACATTATCAATAAAAAGAAACCAGACATGGCTTCACTGTATTGAAAGAGGGCGGTCGCATCATCAGTTCAGAAATGTTTGGAACGATAGTGAGCAGCGCCTTATTCCCTGGGCCACCGTGGCTCTCACTGGGGGAAAGGGGTGCGCTCTAAGGTTCGACGCTGTCTCAGCTTCAGGTTGTATATAACAAAGTGTCTCGTTTATATTTTCTACTTGTTTTCATTTTGGAATGTATAATAAAACAAAACAAAGGTGAGGCTGATGTCCCCCGCCGAAATCCCAAAATAAACAGATGACACATATTAATTTATTGCACATTTATTTTTTTCAAAAGTATCGAGCAATCAAACTGATTATCTATGCTTAGTCTAAGCATAAAATGTTCATGAACAAACTCAGTCAGGTTTTGAAGTACCCGGTGGTGAAACTATACACTAAGTTTCGTCAATCTCCAAAAGCATCGACCAATGAAATTGCTTAACTCTGCTTAGCTTTAGCAGGAAATATTAGGCAGAGTCGTTGTATTCCAAACTCTTGACCAATCAAATTGTTTATCGCTACTTAGATAAGCAGAAAATTCTCATTATCGAACTTAGTCAAGGTATTAATGAGATATACACCAAGTTCCAACACTCTCACTTAATAAGAACCAAAGTTGTCGTGTGCCAAAGCATCAACCAATCAAAATGCTCATCTTCGAACTCCATCATGGCATTCACCAAGTTTGAACATTCTAGCTCAATTAGAAGGAAAGTTATTGTGTCCCAAAAAGTTTGACAGACAGACCCATTTTAATAGTCCCCTGCTTTCTTGAAAGGTGAGGGACAATAACTAACAAACGTTGTTTAGTTTTATTTTTCATAAAATATTTTTTTATTGTAACAAGTACGGGCAATTCCTCTCAAAAAAGTAAATTAGTTAGCCTAAAATCTCACCACCATTTTTCAAATCGTATTTTGGAAGAGTCTAGGCCACAGTTTTGTAGTATACATGTTACATCTTCTATCATAGATAAAGGTCCACAAATAAAAGCTGTTATTTTATCAGGTTTACTTTTACCTACAACTCTATGGATAGTGTCTTCACTTATTCTCCCAACTACAATTACAAATAAACATCATTAGTTACAGTAGTTAATCCCACATACACCCCCTTGCTGTACCTACCTACAGTTGTACGTAATCATAGTCAAATTCATAAGCTTGTTAAAGCCGTAATATTTCAGTCTACAAGGCAAATTTAGACTTTAAAACCATACTTATTAAAACGCATATTAGTCAATAATAATATCATTTACGGTGATCTATACTAACGAAAGTTAAGGCCATCTTATTACCTTCTATTTTCTATTAATTTCATGCCGCCATCTTATCTTTCTCTAATAATTAGCCGACGAATGAATGCTATTTCATTTCTGTCCACGAACATTGAGTTCAAAATGGAATATACCCTTCGTTTTTTAATCGTTTAGATTACTATCTAAAGAATACATTAATATTTTAAACAGAAATACCTCATATATAATTACATAATACCTATTCCATACAAACTATCAACATGGCTACATCTAGGCAGATTAATTCCTCGATTGTCACCGTCTGAAGCACAGGTGACACGCTCAATCAACAGCTCTATCTAATATTCATGGGTCAGTTTTCATCCAAGCGAGAAAACGCTTGTTCAGTGTGAAAATGGCAGATCGTTGGACGCGGAATTTCACAAACTTTTCGGCGATCGTTTCAGTATACGTGAGAATACAAAAGATCGCAGTCGTAAACGTCGGCGTAACCACGTACATGTACAAGAAAGGCGGGCCTTATACATCGGTACACGTTGGAATAATAAAGACAATATACTTACATTTAACTGATTGTTTATCTGATTGAGTCTGCGTTGTATTTAATAAAACATCTGTATATTGACATGAACTACATATATCTTCTAATTCTTTCTACAAACACAAATTAATATCATTTAATTAAATCAAAAGTCATTAATCGAAATATCCTACTCGATACTAACCAGGGAATAACAGAATGATTTGATATAGTTCAGTAATGCCGATCACAAATGTTAGGACTCGGAATAAATCCTGGCCTAAAATGATAAGGCAGAATAATGCGGACGCCAGAAAGACAGGAACCCCATACACCCTGCACCTACAGAAGACTTTGGATGTCAAATTTTAGGTTGATATCAAATATTCTAAAAACGAAAAGATAGTTATTTTGAATACGTAAGGGAACGATGAAACTGGATGTAAAATAATTAATGTCATAATTTACAACTCTCCTTCTAATTCGACAGGGAAGCGAAATTTTCTCAATGAGTGGGCCTCATGTGACGGACCACAGGAACAGTGCCGACTAATCTATCCTAGTTGGGGGCGTGGCATTTTGGGGCGTGTCTGTTAGGGGTAACCCACCGCACAAACTGTCTGGCAGTGGTCATTCATGACTCCTGTGGTGGTACTGAACAACTCCACAGCTGTTTTAGGTGGTACAGATTTCGGCTAATCTAGCCTAGCTTTGGTCTAAATATTACATAACTCTCGTCAGGGATACTCCACCACTACAAATGTCTGACAATTACATAGCTCTGTCAGGGGTACCCCACCACTAGAAATGTCTGTCAGAGTGTTTTTGTAATACCTGAAGATGTACGGTACACTGCAGTAAGATTTTCGTGTGGTACACTTTTGAGCTAATCTAGCCTAGTTGGGGATCATGGCATTTAGGGCGTGGAATACCACACCCACCACCAGAAACCCGGCAGACTTACATTCTGATGATACCAGATATACATACATTGATACCATATAGGAGAAAATTGGTACACTTTTCAGCTAGGTTGACCCCCTGGGCTCCCGGTCTATACTATTCGTGTGAGTTTCTGATTGATTTGATGTTTCACGCACGTTCTAATACTCATTTATGAGATTCGGTGGTTGCCTTGAAGTTGATCCTTGTCTGTAAGCCACGTTCCGTCATTTTAGTACAATATTGAGACAGGCGAATCTACAAGTCTAATAGCAATATCAGTCCAGTATTTTGAAAGAAAGATATGTTGAATTGAAATTTCATCTATGCTGCTCGCTATGCAATAAGCCCGCCGCCATTTTGTTGTGGGCGTACAGAATTGATAGGCCTGTTTTAAATCCGGTTGAATTCAAGCCGGGTGGTTATTCTGATTTTATTTTCTTAATTAAATGTTAAATAATCCATATGAGTACATATTGGCGTGGATTAAGGAGTGGGGAATTTGATATTTCAGCGAAAATGTAAATGTTGCATCGTAATTTAAAAAATACTTTACCTTGAAGATAAGTTCTGATTCTGTTTTAGCGCTGTATAATAATGTAGTTAATACGGTAGATGTTCGTCTTATATGTTTAATATGTTGTATGATACTATAGAGTGGATTAATACCCACCCCACCGGCTATTAATATAATATCATCTAATAATATATCATCTATAGGATCATAGTAAAAATCACCTCCTACACGTACAGACACTTCATCACCAACTTTACACTGAAAATAAACTACATATATAAAGGACTTCACTTAGAAACTAAGTGCAGAAAAGCGATCTGTCTCATACAATTACTGTTTAGCGACGGTTCGGTCAGACTTGATACTAAACCTGGATCGGTAATAAGAATCATGGCCTGTTTATTTCTAGTTTAACCATACCAGGAACTATAACACACAAACAATACGCGAACTAATTTCTATGAGTGGCCGCATCGCATAGTGCTATATTCGAATGAATCTGGTGTTACGGTTTGGTGTCCGTTTTTGTTATGTATACTTTTTAATTTACAAAAATGACCCTATCACTTTATTGTGCACAAGCTTACAATCAAAACACAATACAGTACGCAGAACACAGTAGGTCTAATAAGCGTATAAATAAATACCAACACCAAACAAAGATCTATAGAATAAACAGGTTGAATTGTTGAAAAACATTTCAACAGGGAATTACAAGAAGACGATTACAAGTGACAAATTAGGTATCAAAACCAGGATCCAGACAGATATGTAACAGCCCTAGCCCCTTATGATACTAAGAACTGAGCCAAATCGAAAGCCTTGTCAAACTGGGATCGGTTATTTGCATGTCTACTAAAATGGATGTTCAGAATTTGTATTAGGACTAAGTTGTGCCTTCCGGGCTATTCAATACAAAACTAAATTGATGAATGAAAATAAAATAAACAATGAATTGAGTTATCACAGATAGTACCATTATACAGACTGACCTTGTGGTATACCCAGGCACTGGGAGGATGATCACTACATTTAACAGCTAAATCTAGTTTTCCTTCTTGTACTAATTTGCATGGTGGAGAACAGATTGAATACCCACCAACTCTTTCTATACCCGGTATGATGGTGTCTACCCTGTAATGGAAAGTACTGTTATTACACGTAGTATTTTCCCAATAAATTAAATATCTTTACATTAAGATCACGTCGTAATGAGAATGAATTGTCAAAAACAAAATATTCTGTACGGTGTCTTCTTGTTTGAAAGGAAAAGCAACGATTTCCGGAATTGATTGACGGTGATTGTTATAGATAACGGTGGCCCTTTGAATTCACTACTACAATTCATTTAAAAACCACACAATGTTCAAAATATTGCTACAGCATTGATTAGTTCAGGCATATCGCTTTACAAACCATTGCTGCCTTTACTTTAGTTTTGATTAGTTACATTTTACTGTTTCCGGTTTTTTATGTAAGTAAGTAAATTTTATTGCATAAAAACACCCACGGGGAGCAGCATACAATTACATAAATACAATACAACATCATGTAACAAACAAACGAATGTGTACATAAAATTAATTCAAAGAAGAATATATAGACCTACGGGCAAACTAAACACCAAAACAGACTTTCGTCAGGAACTTGGTTGTTCCCCCGGGTTACAACGACTTCGAAAAGTCGACCCGGGATTTCAACTCACTATTTCCCTGCCTCGACATCATTCTGCACACGGGAAACTATGTACTTTGAAAAGAAATCCCTGTATCGAATGGCCGCTATATTAAACACATAGTGTACTGGTAAATCATGCGGTTCTAATCCGTTTCATTCAAATGCTAAATATATAGTTTCAAACTTATTACACATGAAAATATAAGCGGAATAAATACTTCTCAGAAATCTCGAAGTGCACTTAGTTATTTAAACAAAAATCGGAGAAATGAGAATTAAAATGTAGTTCAACTAGCTTCGTGACTGTTCCCAAGCAGAGCTTATTTTGGCAGACAGCGTGAGTTTCGTATGCTAAACTATATATTTAACCAGGCTTAATCCTCGCTCGTTTGGATGATGCACTTATTCACAGACTCAGTCGACGTACAAAGAACGAACACCAGATACTAGAGCATACATCTACTATTTTGATTTTATAACCGAACTACAATACACGAACGAAAACCTCGCCCATATAAATGTCGTCATAGTGTGGCCACGGTTAACCTCGTCGATATAGGTTGGAGTGGACGTTAAACCTCAAGGAAAAAGAAGGCGAATAAGAAAGGTGACGGTTACTGAGCTCGTTACCATTGCTTCAAGCATATTATTGTTCAATAACTTACCACTGACCAGCTTTATGTTTAAATGATTTATTATGTATGGTTAAAGTCAATCCCTTCACAGTTGGTGATTCATTTCTGACACTTGTAACAGTTGCTGTTGATAATTCCTGTAAAGGTAATAAAATGTGGTTTGTCGAATAGAATATGGTTTAATCCCTCGTTAACACAATAAATCGGTCAGCTTGAGACAAACTAATGGTAATTTATTCATTTCTATGCGAGGTGGGGGATTTTTTCCATGAAAGCTCCATTTCCACTTACTCTTTAAATGGTTTCTTTAACTGCAAGTACGTGCATGCCACGGTCTTTCGTCTCGCACACTTTGATAATCGGCCTCGCAGGCGCCCCCCATCGGCGCTCCCACCTTATAAGTAAAGACTTGAACTGAATAATTCAAGCTGAGATTCGAATCTGGGATAGACTACTCGAGATTATAGCACTATGTAAAATAAATAATTGCATAAACACAAATTATGACGCGTGGCAGATGTTTTTGACCTCGTTTACGGGAACGACTTTCAAATTGTAAGATCCAACTGGGATATCAAAGGCAGGGCGTGGGGTGATCAAACGAATTTCATTGGCATGATTCAAAGTCCCCCACCACTTTCTGTCATGTAGCCCTGCAGGTATCTATCGTAAAAACATTACTTTTTGAAGATCTGACTGTTCTGTGGGCCTGGGGCCTGTTTCATGAAATCTTAACTAAGATAAAAATCCAAATTTTAGTAATTTGATTGGATAATATTAGTATCTACTAAAATTTGGATTTTATCTTTAGTTAAAATTTCGAGAAACAGGGCCCAGGACTTTATGAACCCAACCTATGTAAGTCGCAAATATATATATTTAATGCTTCATAACATACCTCATTTCTACTATTGTGTGCTGTCCGTTCTAAATGTGTGGTTCCTACTTTGTTATTTTCACTCATTTTCACTGAACATGTCCAAAGCTTTCTAAATGGTGATTTGTTACAACCAATCCTGAAAATAAATCTATATATTTTAAAGAGGGGGGGGGGGGGGGGTACTCCACTCTACACAAACTAGGTCATTTCGGGACTAACATACGGTTCAGTTTTATTTCATTATTTCGCTTATTGGACAGGCGACCCTACTCCTTGTCACGTACAACCGGGGAATCGAAATCACGCCTTTTGAACCGATGACAACCCAACCCCCGACCCCCCTCTACATATATTAAAGCTGGGGTTCCGTAATAATGGATCATTATTATGACTATACTGGCGTGGGATCGATCATGGGGAGAGGTGAACCTACGAATGTTACATTTGGGGATATATGTCACATCCGCTCAGAATATAGTAATTTGAATGAAATTTTCAATATATTCATTTTGCACTATGGTATCTATTTTTGAACTGTTAATAGCAAGAACGATCAGCTCTTTATCGAAATCTTTCATAATTCATCACTGTATGAAATAATGATACAAAGAGTCCTTAAAATTCACATATGACTCGCAACTACCAGAATCTTTCCAGAAATCCTACGATTCTAGATCGAAGTTAAATAAATAAGTAGGTCTAGGGAGTAGGAGTTGGGTTGATTCTGTCGGACCCTAGAACATTTTAGTTTAAAATAGAGAAATTAAAGATACATTAGTTAATAAGAGCTAGCCTATTGCAAGTCTTTCAAATGTTATAGAAATTATTAATTAGACCTTTATTTACATAACAAGCCCAAAATCAATTCTGTAGACACGCGGATGGCTTGGACACAGCTTGGATTTAAATAGTCGTCATCTAATAATTAAATCATTAAATGGCTGACCAAGCTAACATTTACCGTTAATCAGTGACGTCACAACCGGAGACTGCCGATGAAAGGACTGACAATCGAGGGTACCGTAGGTATTAATAATGTTACTTGATAATCGAGAATATCTGGGCGGAGTTATCGTCTGTCAATCAAACGATAGCCAATTCTCGGATACGGTGCGGAGACCGTTGATGCCTATTTCTAGTTCAAACTTCCAACAGTGATAATTTCGTTCAAAATAAAGTAATTTGACTGAAATTTTCAATATTTTATTTTTTTTATCTTAACTAATGTAGGCCTATCTTTGAATAGATCTTAAATCCAAGTCAAAGTTTTATTTTCCCCACCCCCACACCCAGTATTTGTGTTATTTTCGTGTCCGACCTACAGATTTATAGTAAATCATTATCGATCGTGTCAATTTTTATATAGGCTACATAGTACATTGGGTTATTCAAAAGCAAAAGAGGTTGTAGTCCTACACCTTCAGCCTTGCTTAGGGAGTTCCACGACGACGGACGAGGTTTGCAAAAAAACGGCGACATTCCCTAACCGGGTGGTGGCAAGTAGTAATTCGACACCAGTGTTCGTTATTTGCTAACCCTAAAAAGCTCTAGAGCATGTGATCGACCCGAAACACAAGGTTTCAAAGCCTTAAAATACAAAATGAAAATACGCAGGCTATATCGTTTCGTACGTACCTGCTACGTTTCCGTGATAAAATAAAGAAGTCCTACTAGACTTTGGCCTGCATGTGGGTAGATAGCTATATCTAAGTAGGCCTATTCATTTAAAAAAAACAAAAAACATTGATTGACTGCCCCTGTTTTTTTTGTTTTTTTTAAATATCTGACTCTGTGAATGACTAAAGGGGGATAACTCCATTTTTCGAAAGAAAAATTATTGTTACCTTCAGAACACACGACAAAGTCACACCATAGATAATACCATCTATGGTCACACTTATGCAACACTTTCTTCAGAAATTTATGACTGAGTGAAACAAAGCACACTGATTATGTTTTCTGGACTATGAACTGTGCATTAACGAATTGACTTTAAATCGTATGGTTTAAACTGGATTGCATGGAGTGTCTGCAATCTCCATAAATATAAAATTAAAAAAAGGACAAATTTTGCCCTTTGCCAAGGCTTTGGCAACAGACGGACTGGGAGGATGGACACAGATCTTCAATTTAAAACATTGTTGTTAATTTTAAACACTGGCTGTTTACCTAATTCTATTTAAATGTCTCCACAGGTGCATTCCAATTAGATCAGTACTGACAAACAACGTTTTATGACAATTTGACTAACGCAAAATCATGAAAATGTTTGTGGTATGAAAAGCGTCTTCTTGAGCGAGACTACAGCAACCGGAAGTGAACGCTTATTTCCAAAACACAGAGTCGTAGTCGAAGTATATTGTTTGTTTTTTTCCACTTTCTCAAGCTTTTACAGCTTTATAAGGCAACAAAATGGGGAAGGGTTTTAATAATTACATGACAAAGAAGTTCTTTCATCCTTCAAGTAAAGATAATTTGAAAAGAGTGAGTATTGTGTGATTAGAATTTGATTCAGAATTCAGAACTGTCTTCTCTTCTCTACACAGCCATAAAAACCTATAACAAATTCAGGCCCAGGACCTTTACTTTATATTTGTAGTGTCTTAATTACTTTTGATGAAAAATATGATAGTTTTTGCTCAGCCATTTCCGTTGTTATTTGTGATTCACAAAGTCTCTGCAAGATAGGACTCATTATAGTTTCATCCCTAATTGGTCTAATTAGTAATCTCGAGACTGGGGGTTCAGAGAAGTTCCTTTTGGAACGTCTCTGGATGGACGAATACATCAGACTGTTCCTGTCTGTCCTTATTAAGTTACAATATAAATGTACTGCTCAAATTTATAATAACACTATTTCCAAGAAGCATTTTGCCTTTTAAAATCATAAACATAATGCGCTTGTAGCCTAATGTCAGGCAAAGAAACATGTTTTGTTAATGGTTTTGATTCGAAAAATTCTACTTGAAAATAGTGTTATTATAAATTTGTGTCAGCTGTGGTGAGAAATGATTCCTTTTTAATGAAAAATGAAGAATTAGTTACAGGGAAAAAATAGAAGGTAAAAGACTCCAATATAATAACCGTAAAAAGAGGTGTGAGGGGTGGGGGATAAGAGTACTATTACCGGTAATATTAGGCGTGTATTCAATCGCGGTTTAATAAGGCTGGACAGCAACAATCCGAGGACTTCATCCATCCATTGAACGTTCCAAAAGGGGACTAAGTTGAGAATCTGATCCTCTGTTTTTTGTTGATGTGCCAATTGATGCACCGTCTTCAATTAGCCCAGGTTAGGTGCAGAAGAGTAGGACGTTAAACCCCATTTCATTTCCAATTGATGCATAATTGTAGGTATTGTAAAGTAAATTTCATTGTGAAAATTATCAAATAAAATAGTGTTCCTTACTGTTCTGACCATTTGTAAAATTAGAATATATGATATATTGACCTTGATTTAAGCAAAGCTTTTTTTATTATTGAAATGCTAATTTTTATGTCATGTAATTTATTTATCAGGTATGGATGGCAGAACAAAAGTCAATATTTGAGAAAAAGAAACAGGATGATATGTTGGCACAATATCAGAAAGAACAAGATCAGCTCAGTAACAGGTAAGCTTTAAAATATAAAACTTGTGTAGAATCCGCGTCCAACAGGAATATGAAAACAATGGATCGAGGAATCCGATACGGAAGTGTTCTTCACTAGATTAATATTAAAGTAGATAAACAAAAGATACACTAACACTGTTTTCATAGTCAGATATTATTAGATTACATTTGTACAACAATACTGTTCCTTGAAATACATTTGTGTGAATTGTCTTTTTGTTTTAATTTTAAAGAGAATTACAATTTTGTCCGGGGGGAGGCACTCTCCTCCCTTACAACACTTTCATATGCTAATTTCACTGTTTCTGTATAAAAATGAAAAGCGGCAAAATAATGCTTTGTACTTTTTATATAGGGAACCCTCTTTTATTCTAAGTCCATTTGACCTTTTGTTTGTTACAAACACTTCAAAATTACTGGATTTCATGATAGCAAATTGAAGCCATGAAAATACTACAAATTAAATGAAGTCTGTGATCAGTCATATGGTTAAATCTACAATCAAGTTGTTGTTATTTTTTCAGAGCATTGCTGGGAGATGAGAAAGCTAAAATGGGTCTAAGTTTTTTGTATGATGCACCACCTGGTATGAAGAGAAAAGAGGTAAATACTTGTAAAGATTTCTTGAGTATTCTTAGGAATACAGATCTTCATCCCAAACAACATATTGTAGCTGCCATTGGTTAGAGACATGTTTATATTATTCAAGAATTGTTAGTTTTAATCTGTAATGCTCAGAGGCAAAAACAGCTGATGTTTACAATTATGGTATTTTGAGGGTCATTTTACTGTCTGGGATTCTGTTTCTCAGTTCATTTGTTTATTTTAAATCATCATATTAGAAAGGCTTGATTTAGACCTGCATTGCCTTTCTATAAGTCGAGTCATTTAATTGGTTGACAGCCAAATATTTAGCAACATTCCAGTCTGGGTTCATATGTCGCTGGTCGTCATTTGCGTATTTGTCGGATAATATCTAATTTTAACGAATTATTCCAATATCAAAGGTAGATAATCTCCCAGCATGGGTTAAAAAGAGGTCCATCAATAGATTTGCGCTGAAAATTATATGTTGTGCTGAATTGTCTTGACCATATCCTGTGAAAGCCAATGCCCAAATGTTGACAAATTTTCAATTCCTCAGGTTATATTTGAACTGACATTCTTTTTAGAGATTCAACTTTCACAATATATTTAAAGTCCCTCGAATGACAATCTGTGACTTTATGATAAATTTATTTTAAAAATTTTTGTTACAGAAAGAAGAAGAGGAAGAAGTGAAGTTTGAATGGCAGAGAAAATTTAATGCACCCAGAGAATCGTATGTACATGATCATTAGATTTATTTATTTACGGACTGCAAAGCATGTATGTTAAGTTGAACATATTTAAGGGGCAGTCCGAGATTTCAGATGGGTGCCCATTGATAAAATTGGGCTTAAGTATATAAATTAAAGGGTAAATTATGAAGAAATGGTTATTCAGTTGTTATCGCTAGATTTGCTTGATAAAGGGAAGTAACTCATTTAAAGATTTTCACTGTTCAATTATATGGTTGAATTGGTGATCACATATCACCATAGTTAATGCACATGATGCTAATGTATTTATTTAAACATGGTTATCCAGACACGTGGGATTTGGGGACTGAAAATTTGTATTTCTGATAAAAAAAAGTATAATAAGTTAAAGGGCTACCTTTTCTATTTATGTTGGTTTAATTAAAATATTGAAATGTAAATAGATTAAAATACTGATATTACTTGTCCCATAATAGAATTGTAAGTGCAGAAGAACTGTGCATCAAACATAAAGAAACAGATAGCTAGAAGTTGAACTTTTATTTTTTTAATTAACAATTTAGGAATAAATATAGATAGTTGAAAAGTATTATTTGACTGTACCAGTATCATTTACAAAAAAAGATCAGTTATATACTGAAATGTCAATCTTGAAGTGTTGAAACAATGGAAGTTTAGAAACATCTTCTGAAAAACAACATATTTGTGCTCAAGCCCTCACCCTAGGTTATTATTCAAATGCTATCTGAATATTCTGTTCAAATCAATTGATCAATTTTGGGGGATTTTTTTAGATTTCTAGAAGTTGTGAATCTTTCATATCAATATATTTTATTTATTTGTTTATTTATTGTAAATAATAAGTTGATTTCAATTATTCAGTATTAGTATCATTAAATATTTTATAAAGGAGACAAATTTTAGTTTCATTGTTGGCTTTCTGTGTTGACAGTGTAATCTGAACCTTGGCTTTATCAACAGGCATTAACTAAAATTTTCAACATTCTACAAAACATCAACATATAAAATACTGTATAGAGTAAAACTAACAATTTTATTTTTGACCCCAGATATGGTGATCTGCATATTTCTTTAAAATAAACATAAATATTTTCTGTTTGATTTTTTTAAACAGGTATGCGAAAGGAGATGAGGATATTAGAGATCAGCCATTTGGTATAGAAGTGAGAAATGTACGTTGTATCAAATGTCGACAGTGGGGTCACGTAAACACAGACAAAATCTGTCCTTTTTTTGGTCAGAATTTAACAGCAGAGCCTCCTAAACGTAAGTAATAAATATATCTACATGATTCAGCTTCTGGAATTGTAAACAGAAGAAAACATAATTTATGCTATCGACACTATCTACTTGAATATCTCTAGATTTTTGTTTATTTTGCAGGGATGTTATAGTTGTGTTAGTGTTACATGAAACATCTGACAAAAATAAGGATAATATACGCATATTTCATTTGCAAAGTATTGAAAGCTGAGGTTATTCAAACCTGATAACTAAGTAAAGTAGGGTTTGAAACTTTGTATAGAATTCATGTAAACTGAAAAAAATGTACAGATATTAACCTTTGTCTAAGGGAGATAACAAATACAGGAATCAGACTAGTAATCATTGACTTCAATGATAAGTTCATGTCATTCCTCAGCCTCTACATGTAATATTTCTTTAACATTAGGATGATCTTAATCTTTATCACCACAAAGAGCCTAGCCTGTCACAATCATCTGATGAAAGTATTGAATGGGGTTAATCAGTTAGATTTTTTCCTTCATCCGGTCCATAGGAATCACAAGTCTCTTATGTCATTTTTGTGCATGATTTTCCTGATTCATGTCTGTTTACTTCCTCAACCTTCCGCTTTAAAAAATCATGACCATTTACCAATACCTGGCAATTCTAAATCAAAACTTCAACAATAAATGCCATGCAATATGGGGAAAGATGTGTGGGAGATTAATTACTAGTCCAAGTCCATAACCTGATATTTTTGTATATGTGTGATATTTATGAGTTGGAGTTAATCCTTTATCTTGTTTTATAGCGGAAACATCAACATCCTCACTAATCAACAGTCTAAAGGATGATGGTTTTGCTATGAAGAAGAGTATTAGAGGTAGTTTTATGGCTGAAGAAACTGGTCCAGTAAGTATCACTGAATTCTCCAGGACACCTTGAACTGTCAAATTCATTCATTCTGTGAAAAGTAATTTAATATGAAAGTTAAAGGAAAACCAAATACTGAACAGAGATTATGGTTTTCTCATGCCATTATAGTTATTTAAAAGAAACCATATAAGGGTTGATAGTAATTGGACCTGAAAGTATACTGGGATCCTTTTTGCACACATGCTATCCTGACAGGACTGCTGAGGATTGCATGAATGCATTTTTTCAAGCAATTCTTATCTGATTGTCCTAATTTGTCGTTATTTTGAGCAGTTCATGATATAATTTTCCGAATTTCAGCAGAAAAACTCCTGATTTTCATCTTTTGTCCGGTTGAAATTTTTGTTAATTATGTTTTTTAGTACCAGTATACATAAATACATGTACATTTGATGTTAAAGTTCATTAGGCCATACAAGAAAAGATATTTTGGTTCTCAGACAATCTATTATTACTAATTCTTGTAATCTAAACTTTACTGTTACTTTAAGCTAAGTTGAATGAATACAAGTTTATTTACAAGCAGTAACAAATTATCGTTTGTGAATGCTGCTCCTTCAATCTCCGGACTCCCATTTCTGTGTGAAAAGAATGAAAAATCTGATTATTTCTGTTAAAGATACATTCCCACAAAAGTACTTATCAAGTGGTTATTTCAAATAAAAGTATATATGGAAAGTAGAGAAACCCAATCTCACTAGTAAAATACTGGATTCCCTGAATAACATCCATGGAGCGCACACAGGACTAAAATGTAAGGGTGTCGCTAATTGGCAGCATGACATTTAGGGCTGTCTGCTCGAGTGACGTTAAAGGTTGCATGCATAGATTGTCTAACCTCTTTTCATTAGGGAGCGCTTAATGTTTATGTTGATAAACATGATTATGAGTGGACGTTGAAAAAGTGAGAGACTTAAATGTACAACAGATTCTGATGGCAGGTGATAATCCTAGATTTTACTTAGGTTTCAATATTTATAGTAAATGGACAGCGATTAAAGACAACGTCTTTTATATGCAGTGAATTCTTCTTCGGCTTGACAGTGACACAAACATGGCTTCTTTGAATAGATTTTTGTATGGCTTGGGGTTTTTCCTCGAGAATACAGTGTTTTAGTTTGAATATCTTTTTAGTCCAAATATATCATCAAATCACTCAGTTTGTACATGGGAAGGCAATATTTTTTGAAAACTTTTCCAATTTTGTAAGTAATTGTTTTTGTTTTAATTTCAGATTGTAAAGAATGGTGACAATGATGATCCAGAAGTCAAATTTTTACAGTCACTGAGTTCTAAGCAAAAGAAAAAACTCCTCAAGTAATTAGCAAATCTTTTTGATACTAAATACTAGATTAAAAGTAATCCGGGGGGGTCGGATGGCTGAATAGTTAGCACATGCGCGCTGTATCATATGGTTGTACATGACAAGGAGTAGGGTCACCTGTGCAACCTCGTGGGTTTTCTCTGGATTCTCCGGTTTCCTCCCACTGCTAAAGATCCCCACATGCATGCGAATTATTGAAATAAAATTGAACCATGTGTTAGTCCCAAAATGACCTAGTTTGTGTCGAGTGGATGTTAAACCCCATTGCTCTCTCTCTCTCTTAAAAGTAATCCATTATTAAGCCTATTTGGATGGTTTTTAAGAGAAATTTAAGCTGATACTGGTGAGAGAATCATCATTTTTTAAAACAATCCAAACTGTTTCAAAGTATGGTGTGTCTTTTTGACAAATTTGCATTGGCCGAGAAAGTTCATCCAGATTTTCCGGCGTGGTTCTCCCTTGTCAGTGATGCAGGACGGAGCGGCTGACAAGGAAAGCTGTCTAGTCGTTCGGATGGGACGAAAAACCGAGGTCCCGTGTACACATTGGCGTGCACGTAAAAGATCCCTTGGCAGTTGGAATTCGATATAAGAGTAGGCCGTAGTGCCGCTGTCCGGGCAAAATTTCCCTCATTGCACACTGTATGGCGTATGCCCGTCTTCATTAGCCCAGGTTAGGAGCAGAACAGTAGGACGTTAAACTCCATTTCATTTCATTTTGACAAATTATCAAACATGTGTTTCTATATAGGGTGTTTTCACAGAAATGACATTAATGAAAATGAACTAGTTGATTTGTTTTCAATGAAAGGAGATCTGATAGAAAATATTAGACAGACATTGAATGTTCAATTTTTCATCCTCTGAGTTCTCACGGTTTAATTCATGCTAATATGTACTCTATTGATCATTTAATAGTTAATTCAGTACAAAAAATCAACCCGCTTGGATTCAATCAGATTAAGAATAGACACATCAATTGGATGCAGCTTAACATAAAGATGGTGGTGGTCGTGTTATAATATTATGATGTCATCTATCAATTCTAAGACTTTTAATTGTGAATTAGCCTTCCGTTGATTTCAAAATGGCAGAAAGTACAACTTCTGAGTAAAGAAGTGAGAAAATAGAAAAATGGAATTTAACCATTTTTGACTGATATTCCTATTCAGATTTTACAATATTGTCGTTTGTAAGAGAATCCATGTATTGCTTAAATCACGCTCAGAGAATTTTTGGAATTTTAAGTTATTTTGATGTGTTGTTGTCTTCATTATTGACATATTTATTCTTATACTTTATCCTCATTTGACCACAAATATACTCAGCCAAATTAAAAACTTGACACTCAGGATTTTTGGGACTAGATTTTTAATATTTGGTTCAAGGCAACTATTTTAGTGTTATGTTGTGCACAGACGACTCTGACATAAACAGAAAGCAAGAATACGTCTTGCCAAAAGTCCTTGGCATTGATAACGTCCCCCAAAATGAAATTCACAGACTTGGAGAACAATCGGAATAAAGTGTTTAGTAATGGTTGTGGCCACCTCTAGTGTCTCATACCGCCACACAAAGTCTTCTCATGGATCTCAGAACATTAGTAAACACTACCCGAGGAAGACGTCGCCACTGCTCAGCAAGAGCATGTTGAAGGTCCTGCAACGTCAGTGGTGGATTCACTTGCTGACGAACACGTCGACCCAGTTCGTCCCAGATGTGTTCAATAGGATTAAGGTCGGGGCTAAGCGACGGCCAATCCAGGACTTGGACACCGGCATTTCTTAAAAAATTCTGGGTAGCAATTGCTGTATGGGGTCGAGCATTGTCTTGTTGAAACGTTAGTCCAGGCCCATGCCTCTGCATAAACGGAAGAAGAACAGGTTGCAAAATCTGATCCCTGTACTGGACAGCATTTAAGTTCCCTTGGACAACAACAAGAGGAGAACGTCCATGTGCACAGAAAGAACCCCAAACCATGACTCTGCCGCCACCAAATCGGTCAACTTCTCTGACGCATACTTGAGCGTAACGTTCACCTCGTCTGCGGTACACTCGGACCCTGCCATCGGCAAATCTCAAAGTGTTTCTAAGTTGACGTAATCGTTTTGCTTGATCTTCCTGGAGTGACGTCAAACGTGGCAATAGTTCCAGTTTGAAGCACTCTCATTCTAAGATTAATTATTGTCTGGAGTGAACAATTAAAGGCTCTTGCAACAGTGACCACAGACTGACCAGCATAGAGCCTACCTATAGCACGTAGATGTTCTACATTCGAAAGGCGCGGCATTTTCTAACAAAGATGAAAATAACAATTTTAATTTGTTTTTCCAGTTCAAGTTACGTGTGCTTGTTCAGTTTAAGCAAACTTGCATCGATTGACCTCACGAGTTTGTGTTTGCACGTGTTTTTCAGGTTTTTCATCTTTATATGCTCAAAAGTCACGTGATCCACGTGACTTTACAATTTTATGAAATTAAAGGCTTCTTACTACTTACTATCTTTAGAAACACTTTAAAATTTATTTGACTTACCAGAAAAAAAAATTTGTTGAAATTCATCAGTGTCAAGTTTTTAATTTAGCTGAGTATAGTAGCAACAATTACCTAGTTACAAATAGACAGGAACTGTTTGAGTACTATCATGAAGGATACAATAATATGATGTATTTTTTTCAGGAAGTTGAACAAGTTACAGGGAGATGGTGAGGATAGTAACAATAGTTTGGCTACTATTAAGAAAAAGAAGAAATCCAAGAAGAAAAAACGCCATAGTGGGAAAAGTAGGTCTGAATTATTCAGTTTGTATTAAAGTCACATTTTTGTGCCCTTAAGCATTCTAGTTTCTATTTAAGTCATCAATAGATCTGAAAAACCTCTTAACGTTTTCCCATTATGTAAGTGCAAGTGGAAATTATTTGATGCAAAATTTAAAAGCATATCACAATTGGCTTATTATGGATGTTTAAAATTTTCCTTTTAGAAGTAAAGATACTTGCAATTAGATAAAATGACAGATTTTATTAAGCTCACATTTTCATTGGACGTATATTGTTTTCGCCCCTGTCAGTTCGTCCATCTGTTAATATTTTGTTTGTGGACTCTCGACAGGTAACAATTTTTATCTGGTTTATATCTCAGAAGATCTTGGTTCCTTTCGATATTGGTGCATATCGAGTCCTAACTTCCTGGATTATGCCCCCGGATTGTATGAAAAAATCACGTTTTTAGCTTGTTCTCTGTCCATCACATGCAAAATGTGGTTGTATCTTGCATGGCAACCGTTTGTTTTTTGTTCTGATTAATAACAGTTCAAATTTGGTTTAAAGTCTGCAATCATGCATTTTTGGGAAAATATCTAATTTTTCACAACTTAATTCATATTAAAATGGCCCCAAATTGATTATTTAACATTTAGTCAAGTAAACTAAAACCAAGCTATCATTGATAGATAATCTACCATCTTAAATAAAGGGTCTATCAAAATATCTTGCCCACTGGCTTGTTTGTATCCGATTACAGATACGGTTGATACATAAAAAAAAAAAAAGTTTCAACTAGTTCTGTCAAACAATCAAGTCTTAATGCAGGCAAGATGAAACAAAATCAAGCCTAGTTAAGATTATTTTTTAATATTTTGATGCAAACTTACATATTACAGATAGCTCCAGTGATGATAGTGATAGTGAAGATGATGACAAAAAGCTTTCAAAGGGTAAAAAACATCACAAACCTCATATAAAAAAAGAACCAAGATCAGATGAAAGAGAAGAACGAAGAACCTTTCGTACAGAGGAACACAGATCAGATGAAAGACAGAGGCATAAAACAGATGGTAGGGATGACAGAAGACTTGATTATATTAAAACCGAAATAAAGAAAGAACCGAGAACCGATGAAAGAATAGAACGGAGGGATGAACCTAGATCCTATCGTCGGGAGGAACAAACACCAATACATAGGAACAATTATAGTGATGAACGCAAAGCAAACAGAAAAGATCATAGAGATGATTATCGATCGGATCACAGGGTCGAACATAGATCTGATCATAGGGTCGAACATAGATCTGACAATTGCGAAGATCGTAGATCGGATCAAAGAGACCAACGTCGATCTGATGATAGGGAGGAACATAGATCAGAATATAGAGACAATCGAACAAGTGATCATAGAAAGGACAGGCGACAAGAACGTAATAGAAGTCGGTCAAGAAGTCGATCCCGTGATCGAAGGAGGTCAGATGATAGAAAGAACAGTCGTAGAAGTAGATCACGTGACAGGAAATAGTTAAAACTGTTTTAATTATTATTTTTAATCCTATTTTTTTAAACATACAATGTAAAGATGTGAAAAGGAAAACAGGAAATTTATGATAAATCTTACATTTTTGATTTAGGAGGTTGTGCAGAAGCATGGACAAAAATTAATAATAAACTTGGAAATGCCCAAGTGTCAGTCAGGAACATTCTAAAGTGCCAGAATCGCAATCAGATGACACAGAATCCTGTTCTGTTCCAGTTCTGTCACTTACAGTAACAGATGTTGTGTGAGCAGAATCATGCCCGTGAACATGTTTCAGCTGTACTGACTGGTTTAGATATTTGCATGTTTTGTCACCTATAAAAAGTCTGGCCTGGTGTCGGCAGGTTGATCAACTGTAGCGATAAATAAAAAAGATGTTGTTCAGATCTATTGGATTGCTCTGTCAAGTTTCACCTGTTCAAGTATTCTGAATCATTATTTTAATGCTATTTGAATATCAGTGTGAGAACTAGTGACAGACCTTTAAAATTATTTTCAAACTTCTAGAAAAGTAAATCAGTGTGTTCAACAATGATTTAACTAATGATAAAAATAAATTTCCAAGTTACGTCCTCTTGATAGTACAAACTGTACAATACATCATTTACCTCATCTTAAATTATGAATGACATTAAAAAAAGAAATTATTACATCAGATGTAATTTTCAATTATATCTATATATTTAAAGTCTTGTTCAATGATATTGTGGTTTTATGTATATATTTAACGGTATTAAATTGATTAATCATTTTATCCAGTAAAACATGCGGTCAGAATATACATGTAAGCAGTTATGAATGGATTAACGAGAGTTTTGTCTCTGATAATCTATCAAGCTATAAGGACTCCTAGAATAATGAATGCCCTTTAAGAAAACCTTTATTTTACAAGGGTTGATAACTACCAGTAAATGTAGGTTAAGCATATACAGAACACAATATATTAAAGATGCCTTATGTAAGATTTAGGTGGCAGTTCTTGCTATAATAGTTTAAAAATAGGTAATGAAAAATGAATATATTTAAAATTTCGGTCAAATTACTTTATTCTAAGTGAAGATATGAATGTTAGGCGAACATTGCCTAATCCACTCAATGTCTTAGCCATTCGGGGGGTTGAATGGCCGAATGGTTAGCACGTGCACGCTGTATCATAACGTCTGTCATTGAGTCAACTGGCGTGGTTTTGAATCCCCGGTTGTACGTGGCAAGGAGTAGGGTCGCCTGTCCAACCTCGTGGGTTTTCTCCGGGTCCTCCGGTTTCCTCACACTGCTAAAGACCCCTACGCGCAAGCAAATTATTGAAATAAAATTGAACCATGTGTTAGTCCCGAAATGACCTAGTGGGCGTTAAACCCCATTTCTCTCTCTCTTAGCCATTCAGTGGTCTAGAGAGTTGTTTTAAGCCAGATAAAGATCTGCAATAGGCAGATTTAGTTCCTACATAATGCATCTTTAAAGAGTTACAGATAATTCAGTTGCTTCACAAAAACAGTAAAGTTCTAGGATTCAGAAAATTCTTTATTCAATTAACAAGAAATGGTCAGAGTTCCTGAAAACACACAACATATAGTGCCCACTTAACCTTTAAGATTTGTTAATATCACACTGAACAGGAAAATAAATGTAATTAATTTTGAATGATCTATTCAAACCACCTCAGACTCATTTAGTTATGGAACTGGTCTACTTAAAGAGTGGGATATTTCTCACGAGCATTCCTTAAAGAGGAATTAACACTTTTATTCACCGTTACTGTGAAGTCAAGTCATTTTAGCAAGACCTCCAAAGCCCTAAAGCCTCTTAACGGTTGGTCGTTGATCAAATTAACTAGATTTATAGAACCAACTTGTATCCATTAAACTTAGGTATTCATGATTACATTTACAGACTCTTAAAGGTGTCTACAAATCTATAATAAATAAGCGAACTGACACGGTATTACAAAAGACTTTATTGACTAAAAGTCTGAAATATGAGAGGCTATCTGTGCCTGGTTGTCCATCTGTGGGATTAGACGTTATTACAGTGTAATTTGTCCTAGTGTATCTTTACTCTCAGTAGAGGCTAGTCAAATGTATCTAAAACGTACAAAAGTGACATGATATGGTCTATGTTATTTGTAGAAATTGTATGTTGCCACACATTTAATCAAAGGTAACCACAATTTAATCAAAGATTTTAAAATTTGTTGTTGTGGTTCCAACTGATGTCATCAGAGTATAAATTTTAAAGTAGCCAAGTCCGTAACTCAATATCATCCAAAATCTTCGACATTGAAAACACCATTTTTTTTGCAATTTAAATCAGCATTGGTGTTGTAATCTTACCTGGAAAAGATGGGCTTCTGATATCCAATATTTAAGTCAAAATAAACATTTTACCATTGGTACACGAATCGTGTACCATAATGCGTTTCAGCGCCATTTGTAACAAGGTGCTCAATGAATGAGGCTAGACATATTCCACAAGTCATGTCAAACGGTGATATCATGTTCTTATTTGGAGAGCATGCGCAACAAATAATATCGGTGTTGACTGGAATAACCAGATGCTAGAAACTGACTTGCGGTTGAGACTTCTGGCGTATTTCGCCGAACATAACTGATGACAATTCACAGTAAAACGGACACGATTGAATGTAAAACAGTTTATATAAATTCATATTACATTATAATATGTGTTGCGACCCATTTATGCCAATTTCTAGGTCCAAAATATTAGCGATTTAGCTCCTTTAATGTCTATGGCGTTGCAATGGCCCTTTCTTGAATTATTTAGACAGTTTGCTTACAGTTTCCTTTCAAAGAGTAAGAGAGAGAGAGAGAGAGAAAGAAATGGGGTTTAACGTCCACTCCTCGACACAAACTAGGTTCGGGACTAACATATGGTTCAATTTTATTTTAATAATTTGCTCTTTATAGGGGTCTTTAGTAGTTGGAGGAAACTGGAGGACACAGAGAAAACCCACGGGGTTGGACAGGCGACCCTACTCCGGGGAATCGAAACCACACCAGTTGACCTTATGATACAATGCGCATGTGCTAACCATTCGGCCATCCACACACACACACACACACACACACACACACACACCCCTGAAGTATAAAAAACGTCAATTTAAAAATACCCTTCTGCAATTAGATGTAGCACAACAAATTTTTGGTTACTTCCCCTTTCACCAAAACCTTGTGAACACTCCAGGTCAAATAAATTGTTTTAGGTTTTTGTTTTTTCTCAAACTGGCTGCAATTAAGGGAGTTCCAAGAAGGTATATTTATTGAAATTCTGAGTGGTGCAACAATTTTAAATTTATAAAAAATGTTGGGCAAAGTGTATAGTATCGAAATTAACAGTTACCCATCGCCTTTAATGCTATTTATTGCCCCCCCGAGTCCGAAAAACCTTGTGAACACTCCAGGTCAAATAAATTGTTTTAGGTTTTTGTTTTTTCTCAAACTGGCTGCAATTAAGGGAGTTCCAAGAAGGTATATTTATTGAAATTCTGAGTGGTGCAACAATTTTAAATTTATAAAAAATGTTGGGCAAAGTGTATAGTATCGAAATTAACAGCTACCCATCGCCTTTAATGCTATTTATTGCCCCCGAGTCCGAAAACCTGAAAACTACCGTTCAAGATTCGTTACCAAGCAACGCTATATTTTAAAACAAAAGTACATCCTCCTACAGCTTCCATCACATATAGCCTTCACATGACTAATATTATTCTGTAATTATTAAGTCATGTTGGTCTGGTATTCATCCCTTTCTGAAAAACACTGGACCTATCAAACTGTATGATTATATTCCGATTTGCGGATGTCACGTTTATGATAGATGACAGGATGCTAACGGGTTCAGATTCAATCTATTTCTAGCAACCAACTGACCAATCCTTCATGCTCTTGGGTAATCAATACGTATATTATAGACGACAGTTATAATCAGATACATCTAATTCAATAAGAAAAATAAGATTCAAAATAGCTTATAATAATTACACACTGTAGAATGAGATAGGGTTTGACATATCGCCAGCACAGAACTTCGGCGATTTCCAGATTTACTATGGTAATTGTTACTACTAACGCAATGGATCGAAGGTGGGCGGCCAAACTTCAGTCTAGTTTTCTTCGATTTCCAACTGTCATGGGTTCTTTCACAAGTACGCCAATATGAAAACGGAAGAACCTCGGTGGGGGGGGGGGGGGTCTTAATTTTTCGCGCCTTAAAGGGACTATTCTGATTTGAACAGAGTCTCAAAAATAAAAGTCTGATTACGTATGAAATTTAAGCCCCAAAATATACAGGAATGGTGAACGTCAAAACTGCTTATCCGGACGCGTAACCCTTTTAAGATTTCAGGTCAGTTTTTTCGTTGGGTGACCTGATAATTGATTCCCGTTCCTTTGTCTATACAATGAATGACCGATGTGCTGTACTTGATAACGAAAGGTAAATTTCACCTACACATTATTTTTATAAAATAAAAGTCTAGTTTTATCACGACACCGCATAATACAGCTTGGGACACCAGTCTCCATTTCCAGATGAAGGCTGACAGGTTTAAGTTGTATCACATAATATTGAGTTAGTTGCTCGGGCTAGGGTATAGGATTTTAACGCAAAATTAGGCAGTTTTATTCTCGAAAATATTATCAGGATTGGCCCTTTAACGAGTATACATATACTGTCGCTGGAAATACCTGCCATAAGCAGCCTGGACTGAATTTAAAGCCGGTTCTTCTAGTTGAGAGCCCACTGCGGCTACAACGCAATTTCCAGGTGTCTAATTAGACCCCCCCCCCCCCAATAATTGTTATACAATATAAAATGGTGTGTATGTAGCTGGGGGTCATGAAACAGGATTTGCGACATTAATAGCATGATATCGGACTTATTATTCCATTGTATCCTTGTTCCGCCACAGTTCCAACAATTAAATTAACAAAATACATAATTAGTTTCTCCGAATTTTAGGTGACTAGACTGTTTTGGTTTCAAATTATGTTTAATAATCATACTCTCGGGTTCTTCATTAAATAGGCATGCTAGGGCTAAATCTGCCTATTGCCTGGTGTTTCTCTTGTTTCAAATAATAATATGATTTAGTTATTTATTCACATGGCAATCCAATAACCATGTCTCTAGAACATCGGATGACTTAGATATTGGGTGAATTAGACAATACCCGCCATGCCTGTGAATATGGCCTACCTTTAAGCAAGTGGGGTTTAATTATTTGGATAGAAACAATATTTATATATTTTTAAACCTCCATTTTTCTAACATCCATAATAACACAATAATCAGTATTTTTCGTGTTATTGCACCATTCCAAATACAAGAATAAATAGCACCATTACATTTCTTGTAAAATAATTATACTGATTTTTTTCTAAATTTTATAAGTGAACAAATAAATAGATATTATATTTCGATGTTTCTTTTATTTTATTTTACTTTATTTTATTTTTTTATTATTATTTTTTTTTGCGGGTATGTGAGTGTTCCCCGTTCCCCTCCCAACACACCTTTTGTAATCTGGTCCTGAAAATGCCATATTTCCGCAATAAAGTTAATTTTGACAAATAAACCTCAAATTATATCTTAGAGCCTTCTACTAATTCAATAGATTTTAGTTACAAAAAAGTTGATTTTGTTTGGTTGTTTCCAGAATAATAAATCTGCCAAATTGGTTCTGGTAATACGGAAATATATTATATAAGCCCTATGTTCTAACATGGACCTTAT